CTGGCTGCTCCGCACAGTCCCCTGGGCGCCTCTGGGCCACAGCTGCCAGGCCCAGCCCAGCCCACGGCCCTCAGCAGTCTGAGGCAAGGCCTGGCCTAGAGATTTGCGGAGAGCTGCCATTTGCCGCCTTCCAAGCCACTTCCTGCGGGGTTCTGAGCCCGGGCAGCGTGTGCTAACTGCACAGGTAGCTGTTGGGGCAGGAGGGCAGTTCGGCCAGGCCAGGGCGTCTACAAGGCAGCCCCTCTGGGGTCAGCCATGCTGGTTAGGACTCCTGAATCATTTTAGGGTCATCATGTCATCAACATTGCCTTGGATGGCAACTGGCTTGGCCCCAGCTGCCCCACTGTAGCTCTCTGCTCTCCACAGCTCTCCCCTCCTCCCAGCCATGGAGAAGGAAGAAAGGGTGTGGCTACGCATCCCAGAGGGTGCCCCCCCCACACACACAGGCAGGTATGTAGCTCACACACGTGCACACGCCCAGCCTGCCAGGGGTCCCCATTTAGACGTCCACAGCCCCGTCCAGGCCAACCGCCCTCCCCTGATCCTCTGCACCTGCCTTACCCACTCAGCACCTGCTGCTCCTGGCTCTCCCTGCTGGAGTGGGGCCTGCTCTGGATGGCCCCAGGACAAGCAGAGGCATCTGAGTCACAGGCCATGCCTGCAGGGATGTGGGGAGCACAGGCTGGCCAGCCACTGGAGTGGTCGTCCTGGGGTGGTGTGGGAGCCAGTCTATGGAGTCTGGGAGGAGAAAGCTGGGGTCACCTTGCCCCTCCTGCCCAGTACTGCCCAGTGTTCCCCACTCTGCCCTTCTTCCCTCTGCTCCCCTCCAGCCTCATTCAGCCCCTCCCCTTGCCTGGGGGCCACAGTGTTTTCCTATTTTCTCTCCTGCCTCTGCCTTGGAACCACAGTCCACCTGCTCAAATTCTAGGCTGGCCTCTCTCCTTCTTGGCCAGAGTCCAAGATTGAACCTGCTGCCCTCCTCAGTTTAGATGCCAGTCTCCTGAGCATGGTGCCCCTTGCCCATCTGCAGCACTCTCCCCCACCATCCAATGTGCACAGTCCCTGCCACATGCTGGGTGCTGCTCCAGGGCTGGCAGAGTCATGAGCACGGAGCATGAGACAGACTCCTCAGCACACCAGAGCTGCAGCACCCCAGCCCTCACAGGGGTCTCTGCACGTGCTCTGCTGTTCCTGTAGACTTGTCTGCTGATGCTGTCCCTGATGCCTGGCCTGCCTTGCCCTCTGTGACTTTGTTCTCCTGAAAAACGCCTCTTGAGCCTTCATATTGGTTCTGTTTCCCCTCTTGCCTGAGTGTCCATGAGCCATCTGGTGCTCCATCTCCACAGCCACCTCTGCTTCTTCTCCACCCCTGCGTTCATTGTTTCTGCCCCAGCAGCTCTTGGTGGGTAGGGTTTGGGGGGATTCTATATTTTAATTCTACTCTTCTGTGTCCCCCGCTATTATCTTAGGACCAAGCATATATTAGGCGCTCAATGAATGTTTAAACACAAAAGAGGAAACCCAGGCTCAGGAGGTTAGCTGACTTCCTAGGCCCAAGCCTCAAGGGGGTCTCGTATTTGGAAGAGCCCACTTTCCATCAGGGGGACTGTCCTGTGTATAGTCACTCCCGTTGTTTATTCAGACTCACGCTTTTTCTTTGCTTCTAGACAGTGATTACACTCTCCCAAGGAAAGGTGCAGCTTGGTGAGTGTTCTTGCATGAAGAACCTGACTCCAAATTAAAAAAATACAAAATAGGGCTGGGGATGTGGCTCAGTGGTTCAACCCCTCGTACCCCTCAAAAAAGGGAGCTGGGATGTGCTCAATGGTAAGGCCCTCGTGGGTAAATCCCCAGAACCCCTACCCCAAATAATAAAATAAAATAGCTGACCAAATGGCTGTGAGGTGGTATCTCATTGGGTTTGGATTTGCATTTCCCTAGTGATTGGACTGTGGAGCATCGTTTTTTTTTTTTTTTTAATTTTTAATATTTATTTTTCAGTTTTCGGTGGACACAACATCTTTATTTTATTTTTATGTGGTGCTGAGGATCGAACCCAGGGCCCCGTGCATGCCAGGCGAGCGCGTTACCGCTTGAGCCACCTCCCCAGCCCTGGAGCATCGTTTTTTGTGCTTGTTGTATATCTCCTTAGGCATCTATTTTCTTTGGAGAAATTTCCAGTCAGGCCCATTTTCAACTTAGTTTTTTTTTTTTTTTTTTTTTTTTAGTTGTAGGAGTTTTTAAAAAAATTTTTTCTGAATATTAATCCCTTATCAGATATGATTTGCAAATATTTTCTCCCATACTGAATAACCTTTGTACTCACTTAGTACTCTTCTTTGATGTACAAAAGCTTCTCATTTTGATGGTTAATATAAATATTTTTCTTTCATTTTGCCTATTCTTCCAAAATTATTGCCAAATTCAAAGTGAATTTGGGGTGAAACTTTCCCTCTCACCCCATTAAAACAATTTTATAAACATCTAAAGCGCTGTTTAAATGTCCTTAGGGCTGTCATGCTTCAGAGCACTCATGAACGCTAAGAATAACTTATTCAGGTGAAATTCACCCACCATGAATTAGCCATCTTAAGGTGAAAATGTGGCGTCATTCAACACATCCACCTGTGCGTGTCCTGTATTTTTTTGGCCCTTTCTGGTTTCCGCTCTGGATTATCCACACCGTCATTCCATCTTTATAGTAATCCTGAGTACCTGAGAGCCACAGACCTACTTCCCTGAGGGCAGAGCGCCTGTGGCAGGCCACTGGGTGTGCAGGGTTAGACAGTCTGAACCAGCTGGGCATCCTGCTCAGTAGGCCCGTGACCATCCCCTTCTTCTCTGGGTCCCCTTATTTGCATCATCTGCGTCTCCAAGGCTCTTCACTTCTCAGTCTGATTGCTGGTTGGCTCCACCTGACATTTCTCCCACTCACGGTTTCTCAAGGATGGGGCACTTGAGAAGTACCTGTAGCATGAGCCAAGGGGACTCATTTAAAAGCACAGAGCCTAGAGCCCCTGGGAGGTCATCTAGCCCCCTTGTCTGGTGTCAAGAGGAGGAAAGGGAGGCATAGAGAAGAGGGACTGTGAAGCCTCACACACAGCTGGAGACTGGCCCTGACACTCCACCCCAACCTCAGTAAGTCATTCCACCCATCAGAGGAAAAGGAACAGCAGAGATTGGCTCTGCTTGAGCCTTACCAGTACCTGTGGCAGGAGCTGCCAATCGAATCCTGACCACACCCTCCAGGGTTTCAGGCTTGAGCTGTTGAGGGCACCTATCTCACAGGTAATGAGCAGGAGCCAAGGGTTTGATGCCTTCCAGAGTGCGGTCCATGCCTCCAACAGGTACCTGTGAGCCCCTGTCCTGCACACTGGGCAGTCCAAGGTGAGGACTCAGGCCCTGCCCTATGCAGAGGACATGGTGGAGTCAGACAACTATCAGCAAAGTCCATCCTTTTGTTGAATCAGTAGCTTTAATGACTTATCTTGCTGAGGGGACCCGTCTCTGAGCCCGGGTAGTCTCCAGGCTTGTGAGAACTAGCTTAGACTCCTACTGGTTAGACTGCTTAGGAGTCAGGCTGTGGTCCTCTGGCCTTGTTCTGCCCAGGGTGAAGGGATTCCCTGGTTTCCAGATCCAGCCCAACTTTCCCTTCGATTTTTTCTTTAAATATATACTTTATTTTAGATGGCACAATACCTTTATTTTATGTGGTGCTGAGGATCAAACCCAGTACCTCACATGTGCTAGGCCAGTGCTCTACAACTGAGCTACAATCCCAGCTCTGCCCTTTGATTTTGACTTGCTCATGATCATTGTCTCCCGCCCCCCCCCCCCCATTGCCAGGTGTTTGACATTATCATTAAGCATTTATTTTATTTTTTTGTACTGAGGATAGAACCCAGGGGTGCTAAACTGAGCCCCATTCCCAGCCTTTTCCATTTTTTATTTTGAGACACAGTCTTGCTAAGTTCCTAGACTGGTCTCAAACTTGCCATCCTCCTGCCTCAACCTCTGCAGTAGATGGGCTTACAGGCGTGTGCCTCCGGTTTTTTATTTTAAACACAGACTTCTAGGTTATTAGAACTAGAAAAGTCCCTTGGACTCATTTCCTCTTGATTTTACAGACGGCAAGAGGGAGTCCAGAGTGGGGACGGTCGCCTGGGAGGCAGGCTACGCTTGGGCCCCCTCAGGTCCCGCCGCCCTGGGCTCGCTGACTGCCCCTTTCTCTGGGTCCACGGCCCACCAGGGATCAGGTCAGGCTGCAGCTGACCAGGGAAGGGCGCTGCCAGGCCTCAGTCCCCAAGTTCCCACGCCCCCCTCCAGCAGCGCCCATCCAGCTAGGTTCCTGCTGAACGTTTCTCCGGCGGGACACGGCCAGCCTCAGGTTACCGCCGCAGTCACTAAGCAGGACCCGTGGAGGCACTCCCTTTCCCGTCCCTCCCACCCCGCAGGGTGCGCCCGGGGCCTATAGCCAGAGGGAGCGGCGCCCAAGGCCGGGTGACGTGGCGAGGCACCTGGGGACCCGCCCAGCGTCCCTCAGCCCTCGGGTAAGGGGAGGGGCGGGGCGAAGGGGCTGCGGCTTGCGCTCACGCCGCGCACGCGTTGGACCCGGTTAGGAAGTGACGACGCAGCCCCGCCCAGCGGGGCCCGCCCCTTCTCGCCGAGGGCCTCGCTCGCTCTGAGACCTCGCCCACCACCAAGGCCCCGCCCCGTCCACACGCAGGCCCCGCCTCGTCTCGCTGGGGCCGCTCACTCTTAGACCCCACCCACCACTAAAGCCCCACCCACCGGCCTCGTCCCGCCCACACGCAGGCTTTGCGGCTTCGCCGGCCCAGCTCCCTCTGCAGGCCCCGCCCACCACAAGGCCCCACCCCGATGCCCCCGCCCACCACAAGGCCCCTCCCCGTCTCGCCGGCCCCCCACCGCTCACTCTGAGGCCCCGCCCATTTCATCCCAAGCCCCGCCCCGGCCCCGCCCCGTGGGCGGCCCTCGCGGGGACCGACCCGAGGCAGTGCGGTGGCTTTCTAGGGTGCCGGCGAGCCCAAGCGCCCGAGCTCGGCGCACCCAGCTGGCCGCGGACGGGCCATGGCGGAAGCCAAGCTAAAGCACCTGTCGCTGCCCTCCGGGCTGCTGGAGCTGTGCGCTCTGCTGGGCGCCCCCCAGGAGAGCCTCCGCGGCCTGGAGCAGGTAAGGGGCCGGTGGGGACACTGAGGCGGAGAGTGGGTCAGATCCGGGCGAGTACGAGGTGGAGCCCAGGCACCGGGGGGCTGGCTCAGGCTTCCGCCAGCTCTGCTCCTGCTGGCCGTGTCCCCGCCCGTCCCGCTTCTGCTCCCTTTGGGTCCGGGGCTCCCCGCGGGTCCAGCTCTCCTGTGCCCATGAAGTCCACGATGCCCTCGCGAGGCCCCGCGCCCTGCTCAGTGGGCTACAGGGCACCCGAGGCCATGGCGGGTACCGTCGTCTGCCTGGGGCCGAGACCAGCCGCTGTTCGCCAAACATCGCCTAATGGGGGCCCCTTCCCTTACCCTCCCGGGGGACCTTCTCTCCAGGGCAGCCGCTGGCTGGATTTGCACCTAGTGATAGTCATGATGCAAAAGGGCTCGCATTCGTTGGAGCCTTTCTCCGTGTTCTTTAGCCTTCCAGGTCTCCCCTGCCCTCGGGATCCCCCCACTTGGGGCAAGGTGCTAACGCCTCGGGACCCCGGGAGTTCACCTCTAGTGGACCAACTCCTTGCAATTAGCCGATTTAATGATTTCTTTCATTACACAAAGATTTATCATCTCCTAAACAGTGGCTTCTGCAGTAGACTCAGAATAATGAGTCTTCAAGTTTTAGGATTCACCAGCAGCTTCAGATACTTTGCCTGTAGTTGTGCAACAGAGCCTAGCTGTTTTTCTCTCTTGCAGTAACCAGTAACTCCCCACCATCAGGGTTCCCCCTCCAACCCTAGACCCCTAAGAGTGAATTCAAATCCCCTTCTCCGGGAAACAGCAGTTTTAGAAAATCTTGTTCTAGTTTCTTTCCTGGGTTCTCACCTTTTCTGGAACCTGGGCTCTGTTTTGAATCTGCCTCTGCCCCTTTTTCTCCTGGCCCAGCATGTCTGTGTCTCCTAGTAGCCCCTTCCTCTCTTTCCAGGAGGGGCGTGAGTGGTTAAGTGATGGCCAGGAAAAGTGAACCATGTGCTGAGTGGAGGTCACCAGGAAAAGTTAAGCATTACTAACCGTAACTGGTGATGTCTGCTAATGTCTCGGTGGTCTCTACTGCTAGGCTTTAGTACAGAGCCCATTTTGACTTGGGTGGAAAGCCTTGTTCTATATAGAGATTATTTCTGCGTCGCCTTTCCTTTTTTTTACTTCTAGATCCCCCACAATGCCAGGGTATCCCTTTTTGATGAGCATGATTGATTCAGTTGTCTCTGCCTTCAGTTTGCCGAGTGGCTTTGCCTCCCCTTCTTAGAACAGGAAGCAACCCGGTTCCACTGTGGTCTCCTTGGCAGGCCATCGTCTTTGCTCCCGAGCAGCTACTGCACGTCTCTTGGTGGCTTAGTGTGAGGCATGTCTTCTGAGCACAGGATGAATCAACTGGAATATTTACAGTGGTACTTTCCTGAACAAAACGGGCTGCACCTTCCTCTAGGTCAAGTGAGAGGGCACAGTTGCTACTGTACTCTGATTCTTCTAGGGGATTGGTAAAGAGTGGAAAGAAATCAGTCAAAGGATAGGGAAAAAAGAGGGAGGAGATGGATAAACTTCTGCGGTAACCCTACTTCTAAATCAACACCAGTGTTACAGTTTACCAATTATATGATTTTATTTAGTTTTGTTTTTTTGTAGCAATTCTCTTTTGAACGTCCAAGGTTTTCAAAATAATTTTTAGTTTTACTTCTTAAAATCACCATTTCTCTGGTTCAGGCATTTATTCACACATGACAGAACAGAGGCCAGAGGTCTGAGGATATCCAGTTTAAGATTCGGGTATCCTGGTGCCCTTTATGTTTTGTGCCTCAGGTGGGGGTGGGTGTTGGTCTGTTGTGGCAAGGAACTCGGGGTGGGCTGCTTGTGAGGGCTTTCCCCTCCACCTGCAGAGGGCTCCCCTTTCTTGGTGCATGGGAGTCCAGAGTGGCCAAGAGAGCTCCAGCACAGGTCACCAGCAGAGCTCTGGGGCATGGAGGTGCGGTTTTGTGGTCTTACTGCAGGCCGCCTGGCCTTCTGTTCCTAGAACAGTACTCTCCAACAGAACCTGCTGGCGGATGGCCCTGTGTTCTCTGTCCATACCGCCCATATGGTAGCCCCTGGCTGGGCGGCTGCCCTTGAAATGTGGCCAGTGCTGCCCCTGGGCTTTGCTTCCCCCAGTTTTGATTAGTTTAAATTGAGCAGCCACAGGTGGCCTCTGTCAGCATGGTTCTGGAGCATTTTAACAAGTCTATTAATTCCTGTTGTTTCATTACTTGTCATTACCAGTCCTGTAGTGACAAGTAATGACACTGTTTAGTCTGATTTAAAAATAAATCTGTGGCTTGAATGAGTTGGACTGTTATGGTTTTTACTTTGTAGTTAGCTTTTTTAAAAAACCTATTCCCAAGTTTTCAATTCTGAACATGATAAATATTCATATATTATTTCAGACTTACCAGAAGTGCATATTTGTTGCTCAATTTACATTTTTAAAGGTGTTCCCCATCTGGGACGATGGGACAAAATGGCTTAAACTAAAATGAGGGCTTCTGAGAGAGGTTTAGTCAGTCAGGGCTTGGGACTTTCTAAGGGTGGCACCTGCGAGCCCTGGTGCAGGCTGGCAGGGGCGGCAAGGGCTGGTTGGCCTGTGTGCCGCATCCTGAGTCACCTGTGCTCTCTTGGGCTTCCCCCCTCCTGGAAGGTGGTCTGACAAGGGACGTGTGCAGCCAGGTTTGGTGAGACTGTGCATTGCTGTTTAATCAGCAGGTGAAGACTGGCGGCCCCCAGCTGCTGCCCAGGGTGGGTGATGCGTTAGTGTGCTGTGAGTGGGGAGGGCCGCCACGCTGCAGGGTAGGTAGTCAAGTCCATGACTGTATTATAAAGAAATGTCCTGGGTTTACATCTGGATAGAAAAAATGGAAGGAAGTGTCCTGGGCTGTGCAGAGGGTGTTGCTGGGTGTCCTGGGAGGCCTTCCGCCCTGGTGTTTCCTTTAGTAGTACATTGTTGTTATTTGTGAACAGTGGCACAGTATTGCTTATCCCACCAGGAGAGAGCGGCCTTTGTGTCTGAAACTCTGAGGGAGAAAGATACAGACGTGTGTACTTCCAGTTAAGGGCTCAGAGCTTGGGTCTTGGTGGGAAAGTTTTCGAGGAGGTTTTGTGCGACTAGAGACGTGGATTTCTTTCATGTGAGGGACTGAGAGACGTTCAGATGATGCAGTGATACAGGTCTCCCATGTTTGGCCTTTGTTCCTACTCGTGTATTTTCCCCAAATAGAAACAAATCGTTGGCAGAACTTGAGCGTTGGTGCTTACTGAGCTACCAGAGCCCTCCCAGGACAAGCGTGCCCCTGCTCCTGTGGGTCCTACAGAATGTTGACTACTGGCTTTCCTTCTGAAACCGAGGTCTCCTCACTGCTGGCAACAGTGGCCCTTCTGGTGTCCCTCAGAAACCCTCCAGTGCCCACTCCCAGCCCTACCGGCCGTCTCCTGTCCTCCCAAATCCGTGCATCCAGAACTGCGGATGGGGGCTCTTCTGTGTTTAGCCAGCTCCGCACCAGAACGCTTCCTTGCCTCATGGGATGCATTTTGCCTAAGTTCTTTGGAAGTGGGACAGACTGCGTGCTCACCCAGCTCTGTAGTGGGCTGTGTCAGGCCCTGGGTTTGGTAGGAGAGGTTGGGTTCTGCCTGCTCTTTGCATTACTTGGGGAAAAATGGAGAGATTAAAGATACAAACAGATCTCATACCAGCTTGAGATCCTATAGACTTCAGTCCAAGCACGCCTCTCTTACTGATCCCAAGGGACCCCGTGGGCAGCGGGGGAGGCTGTGTCTGTCGGAGCCCTCCCCACTGCTATGCAATTGATGACCAGTGGGCCCGGAGCCTGGGACTGCGTTTGGTAGGGGTTTTGCTGTACCGAGCCTCTCTCTGTGTCTGCCCTCTGACCTCCCTATGCTGGGTGGCTCTTGTGTTCCTGAGGCTTCGCCGCTGGCTCAGCTCTTGACCTACATGGCTGCCCTTGTTCCCTGTACTCGTCTCTCAAGAGGGAACCTCAGAGGGCCAAGTGACTTGTGCAGGGCAGAGCCGGGTTTTGAACTCAGGTCTTTGGATCCCAGCACCTGGTTCTGAACTTCAGTGCTTGGCAAGGGGGTGGCTTCCATGCTGTGCAGCGGCAGCTCCAAGCCCCAGGAGGTCCTGTGGTGCAGGGCCGGGGAGCTCCTGAGGATCTTCAGGGCTCTTTCCTGCCGTGAGCCTTGGGTGGGAAAGCCACTCCTGCTGAGACCTTTAAAGGACAAGGAGAACCACCCGAGTTGGGGAAGGACATCAAAGAGGAAGACGGACACTGCAGTGACTCCTATTTTCCCTTTTCCAGGCTGCCCAGAGAAGGGGAATCGGAAGCCTTTCTCCCCTTGACCCAGAGGTCCTGTCTGTTTTTGTGCCTCCTTTCATCAGTAAAGAGGACAGTCAGGTGGCCGGTGCAAGCTGCGGCACTCTGGGGAAAGGCAGAAGGCGCTCCTTCAGGAAGAGGAGAGAGAAGCCCAAGATGGAGCACGGGAAGGGGGGCCCGGGAGACCCCAAAGGGCTGGATTCTGCAGACATCAGCATCCCGGGCGGTGTGGACCTCCTCGCCCTGCCCCAGCTGTGCTTCCCAGGTACCGTACCCAGGTGGCAGATGGGTGGCCCAGCGCTGGCTTGCTGCAGCGCGGTGGAGGTCCCCATGCTGAGGACAGTGGGGTGAGCAGCTGAGCCAGTGCCCTGGCTGCTCAGGGTGAGTTCATGGGGTTCGGTTCTTTCAGTCTGGGGAGGTTTAAAGCTAACAGGAAATTTAAATCCCTGGAAAGCCGGGTCCAGGAAGTGGGGCTGCATCTTCGCCACGGGCTTGGCGAGCTGGGGGGTGGGGCTTTTCCACGTTGACCTAAAGCACGTCCCAGAGCGCTTGCAGCTGAGCTGAGGTGTGCCGGAGCGTGTGGGGCTCTCACCCAGCGGGTGCGGAGCCCTCCTCTGCTTCTTGGAGCAGGGAACACAGGTGTGCATCCTTCCCTGAGCGCCCCCACTTCTGCCGACAGGAGCTTGTGTTTCTGGGCTTCATTCTTTTCTCTGTGTTGAAGAATTTCAAAATGGTTGTGCCAGACACTCAGACTAAGGGCTTGGCCCAAGTTCCTCTCACAGCTCCTGTCGAGAGCCTCATGCCATTTCCTGGTCACAGGGTTTAACTGGGGAGCAGGTGTGGAGTGGGCACCCACCACCTTGGCCTCAGCGGCTCAGAGGTGAACCTCTGACCCTGTGGGCATTGGCCCCACTGTGCGCACACACTGGATTGCTCAGAACCAGAGCGGCTCTAAAGAAACTGCTGTGGGTCGCGGGGGGGGGGGTGTTCAGCCAATAGAGCAGGATGGGGGAGCCTCAAGGTGCCCTGTGGACCACTGGCAGCTGGTGTGTGTCGTGCACCTTGAGATTGGTTCACAAGTGGCCCTGGCCTTGCAGTGGATGCCACAGGCAGGATGAGTGTCTTTCTTTTCCTCTGCCTGCAGGGGGCGTGTGCGTTGCCTCAGAACCAAAGGAGGACCAGGTGCATTTCCTGGTGCTGACGGACATCTGTGGGAACAGAACCTACGGCGTGGTTGCCCAGTACTATCGGCCCCTGCACGTAGGTGCCCACTCCTTCCTGTGGGTCTTTGTGGTGAAGGACACATGGTCATGTTAAAGTGCATAGCGCAGTGACCCAGTGTTCACGGTACCCCGTGCTCAGGGTACCCTGCGACCACTGTCTGGTTCCAGACGCTCTCCATCCCCCAGGCCCCTGCCTGCTCAGCCCTCACTGCCCATTTGCCCTCTGCCAGGCCTGGCGCCCCCTCTGCCTTCGGTCTCTCTGGGTGTGTCACATACCAGGAGGCATGTGCCACCAGGGGACCTGTGTGTCTGGTGTCTCCTGGGGGCAGGATGGCCTTGAGGGCCACCCACACTATGGCCTATGTCAGTGCCTCATTCCTTTTATCCATTTCCCTGGGTGGTCCTCACTTATCTGCTGATGGACATGTGTCTTTCCGCCTGCTGAGCAATCTGCCTGCTGTGGGTCTTGCGCATGCCTCATTCCTCTGTGGGGGTGGCCGGGCTAGGCTCCGCATGGGCATCAGCTGGCCTTGGGAAGCTCGGAGGGCAACAGCGCTCCTTCATGCTTCCGGGCCCCCGTCTCCAGTAGACCCTGCCAGCCCCAGGGCAGGTGGGCGTCTTACTCTCACACTTCCGCGGCGAAGGGCCAGCTTGAGTTCTGGAGTCCCTGCAGTGGACAGGGCTGCCTGGACCCAGCTCCCTGGGCCCCCAGAGGCCAGGGGGGTGCTCCTCTCTGGGTCCCATCACTCTTCCACCAAGACTATGTCCAGGCGTCTGGAGCACAAGGTATCATCAGACAGACTCTGCCCCTGTTTGCTCCTGGGCAGTGCTGATGAGAGGAACTTCAGGGTGACCCCTGCCTCTTTCTGACTGCCACAGCAACTACAGCCCCCGTGTGTGAATGGCCAGCCCCAAGCACCCTGTGTGGTTCACTTAAACTTTACCCAGTGAGCAAGAGTAGAAATGTTAGCATCAGCGCCACTTTATCGACAAAATGGTGTCACAGACAGGTTAAGTTACTTTCCTGAGGTCACACAGCCATGAGGGTTTGAATGGGGGCCACTCCACCCTAAGGCAGTGGACATTCATTGAGTGTTGGTGGATAAACAAATGATGGCTGTCTTCTGGCTTCTTCTTTGCTTAGATATCTTGTAAGTATCTCAAATTAAAAAAGAACGCACCCTGAAGCTATCATCATGTCCCTCCATCCCTACATAAAATAAAAAATAAAATCCCCAAACAAACTACCCTCCCACAGGGCCCAGCTGGTGAGCCCCGATCTTGTGCCACTTGGGTCTCACTGAGAGCGGCTCCTTGGAGGGAGGGCCTGCGTGAGCCCCTGCCTCTCGCCAGGCTCCCGCACAAGCCGATGCTGCTTCCCACTGGGTCTTCTAAGCAGGGCCTGGTCCCAGGGGTTCTGCAGTGTTCCAACAGGTGTCCTCATCCTGAGGCATAGGCTTCTCCAGGGTGGGCACAAGTCTCATTGAGGTGGCCCCAGCCCCTGGGGAGGTTCACCGTCCCCTGAGGGTCCGAGGACATCGGCGTGGGAGGTGACAGTCACCATCCCCGTGCTCTTCCCCTAGGATGAGTATTGCTTCTACAACGGCAAGGCCCACCGGGAGCCGTCCGGGCCGCCCGCCAGCGCTGCCGGCTGCTTCGTGCCCTTTGCGGTGTGCGTGGTCTCCAAGTTCCCCTACTACAACTCCCTCAAGGACTGCCTCTCCTGGTGAGCTGGTCTGCGGCCACCTGGCTGTCCCCTGAACCTGGGGCAGGGGCGTGGCTGGCCCTCGGGGGTGGGAAAACGAGTGGGGGACTGGTGGGCGCGGGTTGAAGGTGACCCCAAACTGCTGAAGGGAGTTGATGTGGAGGGTTTTATTTTGTGTTTTGAAAGACGGGTCTCAGGAAAAGCTCTTTTCCTAGCGATTGGAGGAGACCAGGGGCTGCTCCTTGATGTGTTTTGTGGCCTTTTAAAAACTGGCCTTTTTGGCTGGACTCTGTACCGTCTTGCTGCTGCTGTTGAGCGGCAAGTCTTAGGACGTGAGGAATTTCCGAGAAGCCAGGAGGCGTTTTGCAGGACCTGGCGGATTCCCGTTGTCCGAGGGTGTCATTGTGATGTGGGAGGCTGTGCCCCTGAGTTTGGACCGCGTCAGTCCCCAGGCCCAGGAGTACAGAGCCATTTGCTTTCGAGTGATGAAGTCACACCTTGGAACCTGTGCTTTGATCAAAGCCTGAACGAGGACAGTCAGCAGAGGCCCCTTGTGTCGTGACCACGAAGGGCCATCCGTGGCAGGTCCCTGGCATCAGACCCTGCGCCTTGACCACAGGGAGTGGCCAGCAGCCCAGTGGCTGAGCAGGAATCTTTTTTTTTTTTTTTTTTTTGGACACAATGTCTATTAATTTATTTTCATGTGGTGCCAGAATCGAACCCAGTGCCTCACATGTGCGAGGCGAGCGCTCTGCACTGAGCCCCAGCCCAGCCCTGAGCAGGAATCCTACGGTTCAGATTCACAGAATCCATAGTTTAAATTCCAGCACTTTCACGTCTTGCTTTCTAAAATATAGCTGGGTTTCGAACAAGTTCAAAACACAGTCTAGCCCTAATATTGCCGTCAACATGAAACACTCCGTGGGGCGTAGAACTAATGGCCTCAGTGAGTTGAGCAAGTGCAGGTCGTGGGCAGTGAGGCGGGCACCGGCTGATAACCTGCGTCCCTGAAGGTGAACCCTTCTTCACGGGCTCCAGGGTCCTCCTCTCTAAAGCGGGGTCTGTTTTCTCCCAAGTCCTGCCCATTTATTCCCCCTGCCCTGTGGGTGATTGGCAGCCCTGCCCTCCTGGTGGGCATGAAGGCAAACATGTAATGAAAGTTCCTATCTCTGGGTGGTGGTCGCTGGGCTTGGAACCGGGCTGCACAGCTGATGGGGGGACCAGACTCTGGGGCTGTAGCTGGGCAGCTCAATTTGTATTTCAAGTGACCTCTTCCTCTGTTAGCTGTTCATATGCAAAGGAGCCTCCTAGCTGTGCTCTTGGGAGGGAAGCACTCCTTGTGTGATCATGGGCAGTTTTTTTTTTTTTTCTTTTTAAACTTTTTGTTAACACTCTTAGATATTTTACAATAAGTGAAAATGCGGAGGAACATTGAATTATCTCCAAATCCTGGTGCTGCCCCTGTGAATAATCATTCTTACTTCAAGTAAAAATAAAAGACGTGGATTTGCTGGGTGTCTCAGTCAGCTCTCTCGCTGCTGAGGATCTGACCAGAACAATTGTAGAGGAGGAGAAGTTTATTTGAGGGCTCAGGGTTTCAGAGGTCTCCCTCCACAGAAGGCCGGCTCCATTCCTCCAGGATTGAGGTGAGGCTGAGCATGGTGGCTGAAGAGGGCGGCAGAGGGAAGCAGCTCACACCATGGTGACCAAGAAGCAGAGAGACGCCACTCTCCAAATACAAATATATACCCCAAAGCCATGCCTCATTCCCACCTCCTCTTGCCACACCCTGCCATTTCGGTCACCCTGGGAGTTAATCCCTGTCAGAGGATTAATTCACTGATTGGGTTAAGACTCACAACCCACTCATTTCTCCTGGAACCTTCTTGCATCGTCTCACACGTGAGCTTTTGAGGGACACCACAGTAAACCGTCATGCTGGCCACGGAGCAGTCTCACACCATGGGATGAATGTCCAGGCCCACCATGGGGAATGCAGGCCGTGGTGTCCTTCCTGAGTCACTACCCCACCAGGTGGGACCCCTTCAGACACTGTCATCCCACAGCCAGCCCGGGACACTCAGTGGTGGCCTCCATGCCTCATGTGGTTCCTAGCCAGGGTCATCCTTGCTCCCGGTCAGACTGTCTTCTTCAGGACCAGGTTGTCCCTGACTTGGGCCCACGGATCTGTCCACTGGAACATTTGTCAGACGACGTGCCCCCTGAGTGCCCAGGGAGGCCCTGCCTCCTGCCTGGTGTTGTGTCCCTGATCTGTGCTGTCACCTGCATGCCTGGGCGGCTGCATCCACGGGGAAGGGCTGGGGCTGAGGCTCAGCGGTAGAGCGCTCGCCCAGCACACGCGAGGCCCTGGGTTTGATCCTCAGCACCACATAAAAATAAATAAAGTAAATGTATTGTGTCCAACTACAGCTAAAAGATGAATATTAAGAACCCGTTTGGGGAGAAGTGTCTGCCCTGAACGTGTGCGGACGCCCCGTCTTAGTCCCAGACCAGTTGACGCCCACGTTCCCGGGGTCAGGTTTGGGAGTGAGCTAAGAGGACAGAGGGCAGGGAGGCCTGGGCTCTCTGCAGGTGTGGTCCTTGTCTATAAGGACCTGGGCCTCTGCAGGGCTCTCGGATGAGGCCTCTCAGATACCAACAATTGCACTTTTACACGTGAAGTTCTAAAGGTCAGCCTTTCGGCAAATGTGCACGCATACTGCGTGACCTCCACTGTGACCGACAGGAGTCTTCTCACTCCCCAAAAGTTGACGTGGCCTCTGTGGTCAGAACCTAGTCCCTCTGCCCCAGGTGACCACTTGCCTGTTGTATACACATGTTCCTGTAAATATATGAAATTGGTACATACTCATACGTATGTGTGTTGCCTTACCACCGAGCCACACCCCAGCCCTTTTTATTTTTCATTTTGAGACGGGGTCTTGCTGAGTTGTTCAGGGTCTCACTAAGTTGCTGAGGCTGGCCTTGAACTTGTAATCCTCCTGCCTCGGCCTCTCGAGACACTGGGATCACATGTGTGTGCCCCCACGCCTGGGGGCTCATTGTTTTGGAATCACATTTTTAAATAAAGTTAGAATGCATTTTGGAAACAAGTGTTCCGAAGCACTTTCTTTCAAAGTGCTGTTGGTTCTTTATTTCTTACTGATGTGTAACATACATGCAGAAAAATACACCATTCCAACTGTTTTCCACAAATTGAGCACAACCCATGTTCCCAGCACAGAGCAAGAACCAGAGCACGGTAAGGCCTGCCCCCAGCCCGTTCCAGGCAGCCCCACAACCCCCCGTAACTTGGGGAAGCTCTGGAATTGCCCAGGACACCCTGAAGGAGACCCGCTGATTGGAAAAGCCGAGGATGACAGCCACTTGGTTTCTGTTTTTCAGCTTATTGACTCATCTGAAGCTCTGTAAGGATTTTGAAGTTGACAATCACATAAAAGATTTTGCTGCGAGACTGTCCCTGATTCCTACTCCACCACCTGGACCACTCCATTTGGCAAGTTGAATCTGGAATTTAATTACGTTTTTTTTTTGGCAAACAGTGAAATTGATATGTGAAGATGGCCTGAGTGTCTCAGACTGTTCTCAGGTTTCTGCTGCGTTTCCCGTGTGGGCACGCAGTCCTTCTAGAGTGTTCTCTGTGTCTTCTCCAAGGTTGGAAGGGGAATGTCTAGGCGGGCGTTGGCCAGCACCTCAGGAGCACAGCTGGTCAGGTGTCCTGGGGAACCGCATCGCTCACCTGTTGGCTCACTTCTTGCGGTGCAGAAAATAGACACCCCGGCCTTTCACTAGAAGAATTCACGTAAATTAGCAATTCTCCTTTTGTTTATTTGTCTTAAACAATGGCTATGGTGTTTGGGTAGGTTCTCCTGTCTGATAACTGGTTTGATGTTTGTTATTCTTGGAAGTGCCACTGGATCATCGAATTAATAGACAAACTTTTCCCACGCCGGGTTCTGTTTGGGGAAGTGTCACGGGCTGCCCCACAGTGCAGGGCCTTTGGGTGAGGTCAGGCTGGAGAAGTGGAGAAGGCCCACGTTCCCCTTTTGTTGAGTAACAATAAACCGCTGAGCTAGAGGAGGGCCCTGTGACTGCACATTTTCCACACCTACTTCCTGTGCTTCTTTTTTTTTTCTTTTTGACACCTATTGAACATCTTGAATGTTTAGTGCATGTCAAGTTGAGTTTGACTTTAGTAGTCCCTTCTAGAAGATCATACATACACATCTTGCTCCTGTACTTAAAAAAAATTATTATAGCTATTAAAAAATGAATTTTTCTTATCAGGGAGACATGCGATCCTGACTTAAGATATGTGGTCTTTTTTTTTTTTTTTTTTTTGGTACCAGGGTTTGAACTCAGGAGCACTCACCCACTGAGCCCCATCCCCAGCCCTATTTGTATTTTATTTAGAGACAGGGTCTCACTGAGTTGCTTAGCGCCTCGCTGTTGCTGAGGCTGCTTTGAACTCACCATCCTCCTGCCTCAACCTTCCTCGCTGCTGGGATGACAGGCGTGTGTCTGGTTAAAATGTGTTTTTAATATTACTCCAAACCGAGAGCCGTCTGCGGGTGGATGGTCCGGCCGGTGCATTCCAGCGCAGGTGCTGAGCAGGTGTCCTCCCTCCCCCTGGACCCACAGGGCAGAACAGCTTCATTCTGTGGGTGCAGGCTGAGGACCCCTTATCTGAAGGGCAGGGCTGGAGCATTTTAGATCTGACTGTTTCATGAGGGGTCTTGTGGATGGGACCCGTCTGAGCGTGGATCCATGTGTGTCTCGGGCACTGCACACACCTGGCCCAGGTGTTTTCACGCCGTGTTTTTGGTGTGCCCGGGGTTGGCCGCAGCCTGTCCCACCTGTGGTGTCACACCAGTGCTCAGAAAGTTCCGGGCTTTGGAGGGTCTGACCTGGATGGTGGTCTGCTGTAGGTGGAGTGCTCTTGCCCAGTCGTGGGGTCCTGTGAGCTCAGCGGTGCTGGGTGAGGTCTGGAGCGGTGACGGTGGCCTGTCACCTGCTGTGCCTTGAAGCTCAGCAGCACCCGCCTGGTGTCCACAGAGTGTCCGTGTTGTGGCCTTGGTCTGTTGCATCTGCGCTGCGCTCCCCATTGTGCCCAGTCCTCCCTGTGTCCTCTTGTCCAGCTGCCACTCATGCCCAGCAGGCCACCTTTGATGCTCACTTGCCCTTTGGCCACGCTCCTGCCAGCACCACCTGCCAGCCAGCCGGTCCCCGTCTGAGATCTGGGAAGCACTGGTCTGCCCACTTCACCTCATCCCGACCCTGCATCTCACCCTCTGCACTGGGTGCCGACACCTGGTGCTGGAGATGCGTCCATCTTCCCCCCAGCAGTGAAGCCCCTTCCAGAGGGGTCATACCTCCTCCTCTCGCGGCCTCCCGCCCCCACAGGGCCTTTGACACTCAGAGAGCATTCTGTGAAGGGAAGCGTTATTTCTAAATAATGTCATTTAGAAAAACAATACACTTTCTTAAATTTTCTGAATCAAGTCTTCAGGAGTCTTTACTATTAATTGGAAGATGCTGAGAATACATAAGAGGCCCAAGAACAGCTCATACCCAAGATGCCTGACAAGCTGGGTTCAGCGTTTGTGCCCAGCGGAGCTGAGTTTTGGGTTTTGGTTTATCTTCGTCTTGGCAGGGGCCAGGTTGTGATTGACAGCTGAAGGGAGCTCGCTGACTTAGAAAAGGTCATGAGGACTTGTTTGTGTGAGCCTCAGGGCACTTGTGAGGGCCTCTGGACCAGTGTGTTATTCTGTGACATACGTGACGTGGTGACTCGAGTCTTCCAAAGTGGTTTCTTTTTTTTTTTTTTTAAAGAGAGAGTGAGAGAAGAGAGGGAGAGAGAGAGAGAATTTTAATATTTATTTTTTAGTTTTCGGCGGACACAACATCTTTATTTGTATGTGGTGCTGAGGATCGAACCCGGGCCGCATGCATGCCAGGCGAGCGCGCTACCGCATGAGCCACATCCCCAGCCCCCAAAGTGGTTTCTAACTCAGGTGTTTTCTACACCAAAATGGTGCACTTCAGCCTTGCCAGGAGCCACCATCTGAACCTCCTGTGGTCCTTGGCCATCACAGGTGTTCAACATGAAGCCCCTGCATGTCGTGTTCCCCTCCCGAGCCGACCCCCAGAGCCCCGTCATCGACCTGGACCTTCACCTGCCCTTACTGTGCTTCTCACCCGAGAAGGTGCTGCAGGTAAGTGGCTCAAGCACCTCTGCCAGGTGGCATCATGGCATCAAAAGTGTTGCTTGCCAGAGGTGGTGAGAAGCCAGTCACAGCCGAGGGCCGGCTGCTCCTGGCGTCCGTCCATCTGCTCAGAGCCGGCTTCCCAGGGGCATGTGTCTGCAGACAGTGCTTTCCGTGGGATCTCTGGTCTCCTTGGTTTGGGTAGTGGACAGGAGATCAGGGAGAGGCCTGGACTGTGTCTGCCCGGTGGCCGTGCACAGCTGTCTCAGGTGTTCTGAGCCCGTCAGGAGCGTAGACGGACCTGACTCTCCCCCAGATCCTGACCTGCATCTTGACGGAGCAGCGGATTGTGTTCTTCTCCTCCAATTGGGCTCTGCTGACGCTCATCGCCGAGTGCTTCATGGTCTACCTGCACCCTCTGCAGTGGCAGCACACCTTTGTGCCCATCCTGTCGGCTCAGATGCTGGATTTTATCATGGCACCTACGTCCTTTCTCATGGGCTGCCACCTGGACCACTTTGAAGAAGTCAGCAAGGTCAGGTATAGTGGGTCCGATTTGGAGCGTGAGGTTCTTGGGCGTCCCCTGAGGGAGTCCTGGGAAGTTGCATTTGGCGGTGTCTTGTGCTTGGGGTGCACAGGCCTGGGTTCAGTCCCAGCATCAGGAAAGGGAAAGCATGAACAGATGGAGGACACAGGAGGGCGCTCTGAGGGGGGGAGCCCGCATGCCGAGGCTCCTGTGCTGCGGGCCACACGCGCCGTGCACCTTCCTGTGTGTAGCGGCAGTGCGCTCCCCCTCAGCCTGTGAACACCACTGCCCCAGGGGCTTCCCCTCTCATAGGCTCCAGCTGCCCAGCGGGCCCCAGTGAGGCGAGCGCAGGCGTTGGGTCACGGGAACCCAATTTCAAGCCTCGCCTCCCCCACTCCACACCCTCGGGGAAGTTCCTTGCTTTGCTGAGCCTCAGTTTCCTCCTCTGAGTGGGGCAGGACACATCCTGTGAGCAGGGTTCAGAGCTGAGGCAGACCCCAGCACCGCACGTGCAGCTCTGTGGTCACCACGATGGACTTCCTAGTTAGTTTTAAATCCTGCCTTTGTGAGCATTGGTACCGCGGACCCTCTTCCTGGAAGAACGCATGGCAGTGTGGTGTGCGCTCGCGGTTCCGCAGGGTCTGGGCCTGGCTTAATCCAGGGGCTGTTTGTTCTGTGACCCTTGGGGAGCGCCGAGCCTCCTCTCCTGGTCAGGAGGCCGTGGTGAGCTTCCTTGCTGTGGGGCAGGGGTCCAGGGAGGCCGGGGGACGGCACCTGCCCACGGGGGTGCTGATCACAGCATGACTGCAGAGGGAGCATGTCCAGTGGTGAGCTGTGGTAGACGGTGGGGACGCTGCGCAGATGCCAGCAGGCAGCAGCCCAGGGATCTGGTTAGCGGGGGGCAGTTATGTGCCACAAAGGCCACTTGGTTCACATCCAAAGGCCAGTGGCTTTCCCATACTCATGGAGTCGTGCAGCCTTCGTTGTCCAGTTCAGATGGCTCACCACCTGCCAAGAGGCCCATGATGCTCCCCCACTGCCTCCCTCCTGCCCTGGCAGTGCCGTGTGTGGCTGGCCTGCTATCAGGGTGTCCATGTGGGTCCTGGCCTCCTTCACTTAGTGTTCCTCCAGGCACGTCCTTGTCGTGGCCTCCGGCAGCACTGTGCTCTTGGTGTTGAGGAGGGTCCCTTGTGCTGTGTTTGCTAGCGCTGATGGAGAGCTTCCAGTCAGAGGGCACTTGCTGGGCGTCTGCTTGGCGCCTGCTGCTGGGACGTGGTAGATGGGGAGAGCACTGCTGTGTGGCCGCAGGCCCAGGTTCTGGCGAATGCCAGCTTTGCTGCCCCTGGGCCCGTTCCCAGGAGTGGGCTTGCCCTGTGGGGGACAGTGGTGTTAGCCGGGTGGGCGCAGCTGCCCCGGGTGCGTTCCCACAGCGAGCAGAAGGTTCCGGGTTCTCCTCCCGTCTGTTGGATCCTGGCCCTCCTGGGGGTGAACAGGCAGCCCGTGGTCCGGTTGGGCATGTGTCCGCAGGGCTGGCGGCAGGCTCTCTGCAGCCCTTTGGGGTGCGTCCTGGCAGGCAGTCGTACGGGGTAGGTCTGCATCTGACTTTTTGTCTAGGAAACTGTACAAGGTTGCTGCTCCTGGCATCGTCCAGAGGCTGCTGTCAGCCTGTCCCCTGTCCCCCTCGTTCCTGGAGGCTAAAGCAAATCTCTGCCCCCAGGCGCTTCACCCAAGGTGAAGGAGCACTGGTCCCTCCTTCAAGGGGCGCGCATTCCTGTGTTCATGCCAACGCCCGTGAGTCACGGGGAAAACACGCGATAGGAAGAGGCCAGTTAGAGTGGGGAGAAACGGAACCATGTCACTGGTGGCCCTCGGGAGGAGAGCAGACAGGCCATGCTCTGAAGGTTAGGTTGTGCTTCTGTTTTTAGTCACTGGGAAAGTCCCTCTTGTTCCTGCTCTGGAGGAGGGACACTGCTTGGCACCTAAGTGGTGCTCTGGCCATCAGGTGTGTGGGAGCACAGTGGCAGCAGCCCACTGAGCGCGCCCAGGCTCCTCTGGGTGTGTTTCGTGCCCTCCCCCCACAGGCTCCTCAGGAGGGAGCTGGAGTGACCACAAGCACCCCTGTTTCCTGAGCACGCGCACCCCTCGCCAGCACCGCCAGCTCCCTGGGCAACGCCGTGCACCCTGGTCTTGAGTCCAGAGGACGCTGGTGTTTGCACATATTTCCTGTGCCACCTGGGCAGAGGCAGGCCCAGACTGAAAGGCACGCCACCTCCAGAGAGCTCAGGCGTCACATTCTGGGACTAGACTCTCAGATCTCTGGCGCGGTTCACATAATTTGTGCATTTTGTCACAGATAAGACTTTACAAGTAACCTACGTACATGTCTGGGTGTGTCACTCAGCCCAGGACCCTGCCTGTGGTCCGGCTGGCACTCAGGGTTGGGCTGTGCTCCTGGAGGTCTGGAATGTTCCTCAGGACTCCATGCAGAAGCACTGCAGGGTCTGTACTGGGGCCCAGAGGGAAGCCATGTGGTCCTCATGCTGTGGGCACTCAGTGTGGCGGAGAAGGGGTTGTGACCGCGCTGCAGCCCAGCTGAGCCTGGAAGCACTGTGCAAAGTGACATGTGCCACTCCTGAGGACACCGTGTGTCCATGTGTCTGGAGCCCTTTGAGCAGCCAGAGGTGGAGCAGCAGACAGGGCCATGGAGTGCGGGGTGACGGGAGGCAGGATGGGGAGCTGTGTTGACGGGTTGCGGGGCGTCAGTCCGGGAGAGCGAGCAAGCCCTGGGGATGGACGGTGGTGGCGCCACAACCCTGGCGTGATGTGCACTGTGGGACTGCGCTCCTGAGGACGGGTGTCTACGGGGAGCACGGCCAGCAGACCCAGCCACTGCGCTACTCTTGGCACCACCACCTGCTCCCAGGGTAGTGGAGGTTGTGCCTGTGTCCACAGGGTCGTCCAGAGGACACCATCCTAGCTAATGCAAACTGTGTTCGTGTGTGTATAAAGGAGCATTCAGATTAAAAGACCCCATGTTCCTTCTAGGAAGCTGACGGCTTAGTTCTGATAGATATTGATCACGGGAGCGTCACCTGCTCCAAGTCCTCTGAGTGTGACGTGGACATTCCCGACATCCCTCTCCTGGCGGCACAGACGTTTGTTCAGAGGTAACAGGAAACAGCATGTGTGTGAGAACATCTTTGACACATTACGTATTTGCTACTTTGAGTATCTTTTCCAGTTTTATATTGCTGACAGATGTTTTATATATTTAGAGTTTGGAAATTATTTATAAGTATTTAAAAATACAAGTGGTTTGTCTTTTTTCTAATCTTGTCTAAATACTAATTACAGCCCAACAGTGATGGGACAGTCACATCCCCTGCAAAGCACTCCACCCCTCTCTGTACTGTGTCTCAGGTCCTATCTGTGCCTAACTCTAACCCTAACCTCTAACCCTAACCGTAACCCCCTAACCCTAACCCCAACCCTACCACTAACCCCTAACCTAACCTTAACCCCTAACCCTACCCCTAACCACCCCTAACCCTAACCCTAACTCCAACCTTAACCCCAACCCTAACCCAACCCTAACCCAACGCTGGAGATCCTTCTTGGTCCATTCAGTCATTAATACTGGAACTAGGCAGGATCTGTGTGCTAGTGACAGACAGTGTAGGCCTCGGCCCTCTGACAGCATCCAGTGGATGTGGAGGGCCAGCGTCCAGTGCTCCTGAGCACCTTTCCCTTGGGGGTTTCATACAAGGGCAGCAGGAGACATACTGCTTTCAGACCTATGGGCCGTGGAGGTGGCCCTGAGGGTGTAGGGACGGTGAGTGACACAGCAGCTGCTCTCTGGCCTCGTGACAACTAGCTGGGCTGTCCTGGGGTCTGCTGCAGCTGAGCTGTGGCTGTATCTAGGTCACTGGGGACCCACCGACTTTCTGCCATTTTCTGGGGATCAGAGGACGGGGGCTGAGCTGGGAGCAGGACAGAGGTGCCTCTACCTGGGAGCTGGACGCCCTTTCTGCCTGGAGGGTGTCTCAGAGTCCAGGTGGAGCCTTCCCAACCCAGACCCTTGAAATCTGAGCTGTTTCCAAGTCCAAAACCACAGTGGAAAAGCCCTCCTCTGACCTTACGTGACAGGTCACAATCAAAACAGTTTCACTGAAAATATTGTCAATGTACCCTCAGTCCATGAGCAAGGTGCATATGAAACATAAATAAATGTCCTGTTTAGACCTTGTCTCATCCCAGTGTATCTCATGATGTTCATGCAAATATTCCAACTCTGAAACTTGTGGGCCAAAGCACTTTCCCCTTGTGCTGGGGATCGACCTAGGCCTCAGGCGTGCTGGGCCGTGCCTACCTCTGAGCTGCATCCCCAGTCCACGTGCACTGGATCAGGGACACTTGATCTGTGCTGACCACACCTCTGTTACCACTGCTGCCGTCTTAAGCAGCAAGGAGACTTGCCCCCCAAGACCGGGAGCTTGGCCATTTGTCCTCCAGCTGTGTGGGTGGAGCTGCCGCAGGCGCCTGGAGGTTGTGCCTCAGGGACCTGAGTTCTCCCTTGGGAATGAACCCGCCCCCACTCCACAGGGACCTGGAAGGCAACACTTGTCCCATTTACTTTCTGATAAGCAGGCGCTGCTCCCCTGACCTTGCCAGGTCTTAGAACTTCTCAGGGGTGTGCTTGGCCAGGATCCTGCCCACGTCGGCATTGCTGGATTCCAGAAGAGAGACGCATGCCCTGTGAGGGGTGGTTATAAGCATGAACTGACTGGAGCGCACTGGGATGCCTGTGCTCCGAGCCTCGAAGCCTGTAGCCAGGCTGCAGTGGGGTCTCCTCACGGGGTCCCATATGGGGAGTGCATCCACTGGTAAAGAAGGAATGAGGGCCGGTGGCCCCTCTTCCAGTCCCCCAGAAACCCTGGGCGCCGCAGTTCCTCATGGCCTCTTTGCGGCCGCCAGCCCCTCCTAGGCAAGGATGGGGATCCTGCTCGGCGTGTGGATGGCAGGGAAGGTGCATCCTGGGGAGGCGGCCGGTGGCCTTTTTCCCCCGGGTGCAGGTGGGCTTGCAGCAGGAAGTAGGGGAGCACAGGCGCCGCTGTGGCAGTGTGAGGCTCTTCCCGGATGCCCTGGTGTTGCCTTCCCTGCCGGCTGCCTGTCTGTTCTGCTAGGTGAAGTGTAGGTTGATGCCCAGGAGCAGCAACATTGCAGGGCGGTCACCTGACATCTGATGGGTCAGACTGGCCAAGGATGGACAGCTGCCTCCGGAGCAGCTTCTTGGCACAGAGGGAGTGAGCCCAAAGCCCCACCCAGTCCTGCACCAGCCCTCCCGGTCCCTCGGACCTGGCTTTGCAGCCTGGCCCCAGGCCGGAGCCATGCAGGGCCAGCAAACCCACTGGCCCACAGAGGGCCCGGGCAGTTGAGAGCCCTTCCCTGGCGCCCCTCCTGCTCCTGTGCTTGAGTCTCACCTCTCATCTTGCAGGTTCACGATCGTCTTGTGGGGTCACTCTGCCCCTCTAACTTGCTCTGAGGCCGGCCCGTCATGACTGGCATCTCTCCGCCCCTCCTGTTTGTGGTGGTTTTATCCGTTTCCTCCCACGTGAAGCTCTGTGCAAGCAGGGTTTGCTGTGGTTGGCGCTCAGAGCCATGCCTGGCACACAGTAGGTGCTCCAGGGGTCTCTGCCAAGCACGTCTGTGCCAGCTGTTGATTTTACATGTTTAAAACCACAGACATTCTGGTTGATGGCCAGAGTCCTCTCAATACATCCCAGAGTGGTGTTGGGAGGGCCAGGACCTGTGTTTAATGGCGGCTTGGGGTAGACAGAGTAACTGAGTCCCTACCCTTAGTGAAGACCTGAAGATGAGCCAGTGGCCCTTCCTTGGTGGTCCAAGGGAGGTGACGGGGAGTGCTGGGTGCAGGCACAGGGCCACTGGAGCTGCCTGGTAGGGAGGCCGAGAGGAGCCACGGGGGCCGTGCCTGCGCCTGCTGTGCCCTGCCCGGCCTGTCAGGGGCAGCCCAACAGGAAGCCCTGTGGTGTCCTGAAATGGGCGGGCCCTGCGGGGCAGTGCCTGGGATGTGAAGGAGCGGGCTGGGATTCAGATGTGTGGGGTCAGAGCCGGGGCTTGGTGTGGTGGTGCTCGGAGGTGAATGCTCTCCTGGGCTCTGTGTTTTTGATGATCCGCCCGCCCCCAGAGGTTTTGCCAGGCACTCCCAACATCTGACGTGTCCCTCTGCCTGGTGACAGCTGGTACGCTCAGCCGTGCAGCCATGTCTGCTTCCTCCCAGGGTCCAGAACCTCCGGCTGCACCCCGAGCTGCACCTTGCCCACCTGGGCTCCAGCACAGACCTGAACGAGGGCCGAGCCCGCAGGCGAGCCTGGCAGCAGACACTCAACTGCCAGATCCAGCACAGCGCCCTGCAGCTGCTCGTCGGCATCTTCAGGTATCTAGCGGCCGTTTCCAGCACCTGGGAGAGGGTAGCCATCCGGCCCTGGGCTTCCTGGTGACTGTGGCCCCTGAGCCCCGGGCACTGAGATCACTTGGCAGGCGTGAGATGACTGCTCTGTGATCATCACCATGTGAGGGCTAGGGGGCTTGGGTTGTCCTCCAGTCCTGCCTGGCCCTGTTTGTCCATCTCCCCTGTCAGTGGCCCCGCGGAGGGCTGCCTCAGAGGTGTCCCCAGGGAGGTGGAGTCTGGTCCCACTGCTGGGAGAGCGGGTCGTGTGCTGGCCCAGGGCTGCCTGGGACGCCTGCACCGGGGAGGAGGGGCAGGTGGGCATTTCCGTCACACCTGTGAACCAGACAGCGACGCCACCCGCAGGGCGTCTGGGGATCTGGCCCTGGGGCCCTCTCTCCCGCGTTGGGTAGTTCCCACCGCAGACGCCCCTCGCCTGCTCTTGCTCCCTCGCATTTCTCTGCAGCTGGCCAAGTGGACGAGGAGCGAGGGTTGGGGCTCGGCTTGCCCTCTCCGACCTGCTCGGGGCCGTTGAGGACTGGGGACTCTGGGGCTTTCTGGGCCGGCCTTCCTGCCCCTCCTCCCCCGCCGCGCCCGTCCTCCGGCTGCTTCTCCCTGAGGAGCCAAGGGTGCCCACCGCTGGCTGGCGGGAGGGGCGGTGGGGCCACCGACTTGCCGTCCCCTGATTGCTTCAAAACCAAACCTGTCGTGGCCTTGTTCTGTACCTGTCTCTACTTACTGGAGCCAGAGACTGGTCGGGAGGGACGGAGAGCGGTCACGGGCAGGCTGCGTTGTCTCTGCTCCCAGGGCTGCATTAGCCAGGCCCTGGTTCTGCCCTTCTGCTCTGGAAGACAAAATGTTCTGTGGTCGCGGTGGTCGTCTTCTCTAAACCCACGAGATCGATGATTTGACAAAGAAGCCAAACTGCCGTGAGACAGGGTGAAGCCCGAGTCTCCCCACCCTGAGCCCGGCTGCTCCTGTCGCCCACCACCCGTCTCCTGGGCCCGGCCGCGGCTCCCTGCGGGTCTTTGCTCCCTGCTGCTCAGGGTGTGAGAACCCAGGAGGTCGCCACAAGAGCATGGGGGAGGCGGGGAAGGACACGGGGCCGAGGAGAGGGCGCCCAGAGTACCTGATTCTTGTCTCAGGGAGGGGGACGTGGGCAGGTGCTGGCGTGGCCGGGAGGCCGTCCATCCTGTTTGTGGACTGTACTTTAATGTGGGAGGCCATATGGATTCACAGTCCCATGAGGAAGGCGGGCAGAGGGTGGGGACACCTGCCGGGACGTGCCTGGTGGCCAGCACTTGCCGAGGTGGCTGCTGGTGCCTTCCCTGTCCCCCAGGCTTCGCTGCAGCTGGGAGCAGTCCCGTCTGGCCCCACGCCGTGGGCACGCTCCTCTCGGGCTTCCGCCAACCTCTCGGAAGAGCAGTTTTCAAACTTGCTGAAAGCACTTGTTCCCACGTGGGGACCAAGCAGCAGGCTGTCCTTGTCTTTGTCAGGGAAGTGAAGGACCACGTGAATTACGAACACAGGGTGTTCAACAGCGACGAGTTCCTCAAGACGAGGGCCGCAGGGGAGCAGCACTTCTACAAGCAGGTGAGCCGTGTGGAGCAGGCTGGCTGGGCGTTCTTCCTGCTTTGCTCTTCTGTTTTTGAACATTCTTCAGAATGGGTGTTTTTCAAGGTGTTAATATTTCATGAAGTGTGTTGGGTTTTCTAAAAGGTTTTCTTTCGGTATGGTTCCTTTTTGATGGCACTGGGGATTTAACCAAGAGTCGCTTAACCATGGAGCCACCTTCCCAGCCCTTTTTACTTTTTAAGACGGAGGCTTGCTGAGTTGCTTAGGGCCCTGCCAAGTTGCTGAGGCTGGCTTTGAACTTACAGTCCTCCTGCCTCGGCCTCTCGAGCTGCTAGGACTGCAGGTGTGCTCTACCACACCCAGCTCGGCATGGTTCCTTCCGATCCTTACGTTTTGGTCAGCTTTCAGAATATATTTTACACATGAAGATATACCCATTTTCAGTGTAGGTTTGGTGGACCGTGACAGATGTGCACACCTGTGTGACCGCATCCTCAATCTGGAGGCCGCACACAGTCAGGTGCCCCTTCCCCGCCACCTGCCCCTTCCCAGGCCCTGGGCAGCCTCCTTGCTGTCCCTGGGGGGAGCTCTGGCTTTGGATACTGCTGTGCCACTGTGCACCAGCTGAGCGCTGCCGGCCCACCTGGCTTTGGAGGAGCAAGAAGTAAGCTGGGGATCATGGAGACGCGGGTGACACCGCGGAGAAGCCCAGAGCACACTGCCCTCTGAACGCCACGGCCCGTCTCCTGGCACAGCCGCAGTCCCTGCCGCTCTCTGCTCTCCCCACTCCTATGCATTCCCAGTTTGCTCTGCTTTACGTGCGCCCTGGCCTCCTCTGCTCCCGTGCAGGCCGTGTGGCTTACGGCAGCTGTACGTGGCATGTGTGGGGGCCACTGTCACCTGCCCTCTCTTTCCCCTGCTGCTCAGGGTCGTGAGAACCCACAAGGAGCATGGGGGGAGGTGGAGAGGGACACGGGCTCCGAGGAGAGAGTGCCCAGAGTGCCCAGCTCCGGGCCTGCTGCGCGGAGGTGCCGGCCCCCCTTGTGCTCTGCTCCGAGGCCTTCCTGGTGTCCTGTGCCCTCATGGTGAACTTGTGCCACTCAGCTGCAGGCTGGGCTACCAGGGCTGTGTGCAGGTCCTCAGCGGGCCAGGCGTGCATGCCCGGGCCCCGCTGTGCGGCCTGTTTCCTGTGTTTTCTGCCAACATTGTGCAGCTCAGGTCGCCTGCTTTTCCCTTTCTGGTCCTCAGTGTGGATCTGGGCCCCTTTCCCTCCTTTTCTGGCCAGGGCTCGGGGAAGCTGTGGACCTTCTAGCATCTTCCTCTAGGCCTCTTGCCCACATGTCACGGTCAGTGGAGAGCAGGTGTCCAGGTGGCAGCACAGGCCCCGATGTTGGAGGGTACCCTGCAAAGTGAGAATCCCACAGGTGTCAGCTCCTGAGCCAGGAGGAGGAGCCTGATGGTAGCAGGTGTGGCAGGCAGTGTGTGTGATGGGGGCACGGGGCTGGGGGACCGAGGCCGGCCACTCACAGACGCCGCGGCACAGCTGTCGCAGTGGCCAGGCGGACTGGCCTTTGTGTTTCATGGTTTCTGGGTGCAGAGTGGCTGCTTACTTCAGAGGGGCAGGCGAGGAACTGAGGACGTGCTCGGCACAGGGTGGCCTGGGCCGCTCCCTGTTCCAGGGACTTCTGTCTGGAGGAGCCTGTGCTGGACAGGTCCTGGTCCAGGGCTGCAGGCTCCAGGTGGAGGGGAGCAGATCCCCAGGCCCTTATGGGTGCCCTGTCTCGTCTGCCTCAGGTCTTGGACACCTACATGTTCCACTCTTTTCTAAAAGCTCGGCTCAACAGAACGATGGACGCCTTTGCTCAGATGGACCTCGACACCCAGTCTGAGGAGGACAGGTGCCTCATCCCTGCTTGGACACGGCCCTCTGGGCCTCCGAGTGCTAGGGTGGCATGGCTTCATTGGGACAGATAAGTGATAGGTTCACTGGGAAGAGTCTGCGTTTGGAAACCCACCCTTTCCATGTCACAATGTCCCTGCCACAGTGCTCTGAGCCCACTGGGCAGCAGCGCCCTGGTCTGCCTGTGCCGCTGCCCGCGGGCCTCTCCCCCTCCCCTTCCTCAGAACCTGTTCTCTTCTCTGTCCATTCCTGCTGTTTCCTTGATCTTGAACATGCCTCAGCTGTGGGCGCTGCCCTCACCCCTGACTGTGGGCCCTCCCGGGGCCAGATGCAGGTCACAGGCTGTCCCACACCGTCGCTGCACAGGAAGAGGGGCCTGTTCCTCAATCCTTACTGCGTCTGTAAAGCAAAGCCTCGCTTTCCCCCCAGAATAAGCGGGATGCTCGTCAGCCCAAGGAGACCGACGGTGCAGAAGATGGCCTCGCGGAGGCCCTCGCCCCTGGACATCACCCACAGGCGCATGGTGGTCAGCATGCCTGACCTGCAGGATATTACCCTGCCTGAGCCGCTGCCCAGGAACTTGTCCCTGCGGATATCAGACACCACAAGCTGCAGAAGCAGCAGCGGCCCAGGTGGGGACCCTGCCCTCCCTGCGCCCTGCCTTCTCGCCTTGCCGGCCGGTCCTTGAGGAAACGAGGTCCACCTCCTGGGGAAGGGTCTTTTGGACTCTGAAGTCCAGCACAATCATCTGAATCCTCTCTGGAGGGTCTGCTTTGCGAGCCACATCTCTTGTGAAACATCCTCCAGAGCCCCTGCCAGAGTGGCATGCAGCTGGGTGTTGTCCACCTGTGTCCACCGTGTGGTTGCGTGTGCTCGAGTGCATGTGTGAGTGTGTGTCACGTGCACTGTCTGATGGGAGACAATGCCTGTTGGCCCCTGGTGCCCAAGTACCAGGCATTTTCTAGGGACTGGGGTAAAGGACTGGCCCCCCTGCCCACGCAGCGGGCAGTCCAGGGATGGTCCTCGAGACAAGGACAAGGACAGACACATGGTTTCAAGGTCAGGGTAAGAGCAGCAGGGCTGGGCAGCGGCCTGGCCTTATGCACTGCGTGCAGTGCGGGTGGGTGGGGAGATGGAGCTGTGGCTGGGGGACCTCTCCCCAGCAGAGGGACCGCGGAGCCTGCTCGGGGTCGTGAAGGTGAGCGTGCACGGCCGCGCAGCCTGGCGGTCCCTGGCACGCAGAGTGCAAGGACAGCCTGGTGGGCACAGCTCGGCTCTGATTCCCACAGAGCTGGAGGAGTGCGTCACACACGGTGCCACTCTTCACCCTCAGGTCTCTCCCCATGCTTCTGCAGGACGGAACCTCTGCTGCGCACAGTGTGGGGAGCCTGTCAGGGTCGGGCACCACCACTGCCCAGTGGGACCCTGGGGGCCTAGCTTGGGCCACACCAGCAGGAGCCCTACGGTGCCTTGTGATGAGTGTGCAGAAGCCCAGGAAGCTGCACACGCAGCACCCTGCTGTGGCTCCCTGGGGTTGGTGTGGCCGAGGCACAGCATGTGAGGGAAGGGAGCACAGCCCTTCAGTGCTGAGCCTGGCAGCCAGCATGGGCATCTGAAGGCAGACTGCTGGGAGTGCCACTCAGCAGAGGGGCCGGCCTGTCCTGGCAAGGTGGCCTCTTGCCTCCTCCAGGTCCCCAGCCTGCCTGAGCTGCCTGGAGAAGAGGAGCCTGGGGTCTGGTCATGTTGGACCAGATGAACTTGGCGTGAGGCGCAGTTGGTGGCCGTGTCCCTGGCACAGGAACCTGAGCTGCAGTGGGATCACAGTGCTCACTCCCAGAACTGTTCCCGTCACGGAAACAGTCCTGAGAAGGCTGGACCTGGGGCTGGGCGCTGGGCGGGCCTGTGTGAGCCCGAGTCCAGCCCCAGCACTAGGCTCCGCAGTTGGGCAGTCAGTTGTCCATAAGTGCCAGCTGCTACTGTCCCTGGGCGCTCTGCAAGCAAGGCGAGGGGCCCTTGTGGGGACGCGTGCTTCACTCTGTGGCCCTGGGCTGCGTGCTCTCGGGACAGGTCTGGGTGACTCTTGTTTTCCCTTGGTCCTTAGTTCTGAACGTGGCCCCTAAGTCCACGTACACCTTCAAGATCCCAGAGGTGCACTTCCCGCTGGTGAGCCAGTGCGTGCAGGCCTACCACAGCGACTTCGTCAGCCTGCTGAGCAAGGCCATGGGCCTCCTGGCCCCCGACAACTCCCTGCTCCTGGCCAGATACTTCTACCTGCGTGGCCTTGTCCAGCTCATGCGGGGGCAGCTGCTGAGTGCCCTCTCGGATTTCCAGAACCTCTACAGGACGGACATACGGATCTTCCCAGACGCCCTCGTCAGGGGCATGGTGGAGTCCATGTCAGTCCCTGAGCGCACCCAGGCCGAGCAGACGCCCGAGCTGAAGAGACTGATCACCCAGGTGCTGGACAAGCCGGGCGAGGCCCCCAAGGTGGACGACCCCGTGAAGCACTTCGAGCTGCCCAAGAAGCACATGCAGCTGGGCGACTTTGTGAAGAGGGTGCAGGAGTCTGGGATCGTGAAGGACACCAGTGTCATACACCGGCTGTTCGACGCACTGACCGTGGGTAAGGGGACCTCGCAGCGTCCGTGCAGGTGGCTGCATAGGCCCCTCTTAGCTGTGGGTTCTGCACCCACAGGTCCAACCAAGAACAGGTTGAAGTGTTAAAGGAGCTGCGTCTGCGGGCACAGGCCACCTGAACGGTGCAGGGCCGGCCGGAGCCCGCGGGTAGCCTCAGGTGTTAGAGTGACCCCGGGACTGGGTCTGTGGGCGGGTGTGGCAGGCACCTCGCCACGGCCTCTGTCTCGCGTGGGCAACTGTGGACTGGTTTGGGCAGGGGGTCCTGGATCCCCACCAAGACCAAGGGGGACTGGACTTAAGGACAGCAGGGGACAGTCACTGGACAGGCACCCGCCCGTGGCAGGTGAGAGCCGCAGGGTGACGGCGCACCCTGTGCTGGGCACATGCCAGGTGGGCAGGTTGGCGATGCCCTAGGCAGTGTTCCTCTTGCTCCATCTCGCCCTGGCCCTGCCTCCTGGGAGGCCCTTGGTGGTGGGAGGACACGGGCAGCTTCCCCACACTCCCTCTTCCCAGCCTTCGCCCGTTGGCTACACAGCGGTGACTGTTGTACTGTGTCACACATAGCAGCGTGGGGACACAGTAGCGGACACAAGGCACCCCAGATTTGGGCGTGTCTTGCTGCCCGTTTCCTGCAGGGCCTCGCTTCTGAGGTCTGGGTGGGCCCCTGTGCACTCCCTGGCTCCCCCTACCCCAGGAGCACTGTCCCCATCTGAGACCTGCGCTCTCCTTGTTTGGTTCCTTGACCACGGACTGTGCGTGGAGCACTTGCACGCCCGTGTGGGTGTGCACTGTCCAGGAGTCACTCCGGCCCCTCCCCGGCGGCTCAGGCCTTCCTGTGCTGGCCCTCATCTTTCACTGCGGCCCTGTGGCTTGGGAGGAGGCAGGCTGTCTGCATGTTGCCCTGGGGCAGGCGTCCAGTGGCACACGCTGGACCACACTGACCCCAAGTGTGCTGTGGGTTGTTTCCTCTTAGACGTGTGCCAGAAGCCTGTGCACCCTGTCCTGTGGGTCGGGCCGCGTGCTGCCCTGCGTCTCCTGAGGGATGCCTGCCCTAGGTGATGCTGTTACCTCCTGGCAGCGAGGGCTTGTCGGGGTCACCGGTGTTGCCCATGGTGCGTGAGATGGCCATGTGGGTGCGGCTTGTCCGCTCAGCTGCTGACCAACCCTCTGGTTCTTTTCGTGTTCTCTGCCTCGCGTGTGCGTGTGGGCCTTTCTTCCCCTTGCAGATGCGCAGCTGCCCTCTGTGCTCTGGAGAGGGCCTCCCTGCTGCGGGCGGGCTCGGCAGCGTGCCCTCCTGGTGACGGAACCTCCGTCCTGGCACCTCTGCAGGAAGGGCCAGCTGCTTGTGTGCTCTCCCAGTGGCCAAGCAACTGGACTGCCCAGTGGTCAGCGTGGCGCCCACAAGGCCAAGTGGGCGATACGGCAGCCCTCCAGGGGCAGTGCTCCGCCGGGCACCCTACAGGGTCTGTCCTGGGGCGTCTGTGGCTTTCTCCCCACAGGGGCCCAGCATGCCTGGGCTCCACCACCTGCAGCGGTCTCCCTGGAAGACGTCACCTGCACGGGTGCAGGGTTCCCTGGCCACTCCTCCCTGAGCAGTGCAGTGGGGAGGTGACCTGCAGAGTCACACGGCCATGCAGTGGTCCGGGAGGCTGCGTCCTCTCGTGGGGACTTGAGCCGGGTTTGGACATGGGGTCCTGGAGCCCACCCCACCATGGGAGGGTTGCCCTGGTCCCTTCAGGTGCTGTGTGCTGGGGACACTGAGGAAGGCCGCCCTGGCCGGGTTCCCGCCAGGGAACCGTGTGATAGGAGGGAGGTGTGCGGGTGGTGGTCAGCTGCCCCGGGTGTGGCAGGCAGGGGAGGTGGACACAGCAGCGTGTGGAGGAGGACAGGAGGGGCGTGTGGGGCTCGGCCCTGGGTTTGGCTGGTGGAGGCCTGAACAGAAGCTGTAGGAGCTGCCTGGTGACTGTCCCCAGCCACGGACTCCAGGTGACGGCTCCTCCCTCCCTGGCATGGCCCCGTTGCCAGTTACAGGGTGGCTGGACCCTGGCGGGAGAAGAAGGCCTGCCTGTCCCTCAGGCATCTCCACCTCTTCTCCATGGGCAGCATCGGCAGGTCCTGTGGCCACCCAGCTGCTGGGACCTGGAAGGGCCTTCTGCAGCGGGTGTGGGCGGCCTGTGGCACGGTGGGTGGTGTCGAGGAGGGCACTGGCAGGCCTGGGTAAGGACCAGGAGCCTCAGTGGCCCTGTCCCCTGGCCTGTTGGTGTCATGTATGCTGCGGATTGGGTGGTTCCTGGGGTTCTGCGTCCAGGAGCCTGACGCCCCCGGGTGGCGCTGCATGGAGGGGGCTTCAGCCAGGAGCTGGGCTGCAGACCGCACGCGCCAGAGCCAGTGCCCCGCCTGGGCAGCCCGGCAGGGGAGGCAGGCCCGGCTCTGACCTGACTTCTCCTGTGCCCGCGCCACGCGTTTTCCTGGTACTGCTCCACCGTGTCCGCTGGCTCTCCTGGACACCGTGGGCTGCCTTCAGTTGCCTGTGCCTGACTGAGGGCTGGGGCTGGCTTGGGAGGGGCTGCTGTCTGCACGCCGCTGGAGGAGCTGGGGTGCGGCACCGTGTGACGGGAGGGAGATGTGCAGTTGGTATTTTTGTGCAAAATTGAGACACAAGGAATGTCATTGTGCCTGCATGTGTGCATGCAGTGACCGTGCCTCTGACCATCGCTGGGATGACACGTTGGCTGTGGACTGGGCTAGATGTGTGTGGTGTGGCGTCTCGTGTGGGCACAGGGGCTGTGGATGTGCCCCGCAGTGGCCAGTTCTGCTGAAGTGCTGGCGGTGGGTTGCAGTGAGGGGGCTTCAGGGTCCTTGTCCTTGCTTCTCCTACCCGGTGGGGCACGTCTGAGGCCCCGCCAGTGTCTGCCTGTGTGAGAGTGCTCTTGGGTTTCGGTGACATGGCCCTGCCTGCGAGGGCTGGGCCGCAGCGCCCCGCCCAGGCTCCCCGGCTCCGGCCCCTGCAACTCGCTTCCCTGGCAGTGGCTTTGCCTTTCACTGCGCTTCCCTCTCTTCCCGGCTTCTTGGCCTTTTCCTTGCTACTGCTCCACCTCGAGGCCTGCGTGGCGTCTGGGGGAGCAATAGGCGCTCCTGACGAGCCCGGGCCTCAGTCCCCGCCCGGGAAGTCAGCCTGGGCTGCCGGGCCTTGTTCACGGAGTTGCTGAGGTGGAAGGGGGCTCTGGCCGGCGAGGGGCCCGTCCGCCTGCCAGGTCCTGTCCACGGGTGCACCTGGCACCCTTGTACTTGGTCTTCGGTGACTGCAGATGCCTGTATCTGAATCGTTTAGGTTTGGATTTAGTGATTTTAAAACTTAAAAAGAAAATAATGTTCAATCTTTGTAAACCACCCAGAAAATAGGGAAGGGAACGCAATAGCCCACAATGGCGCCACCTGGTGGAGATCCCGCAGAATCACCCCCTGCCGCCTGCCTGGGCTGCAGCCGTCCCTATCTGGAGGCAAGATGAAGTCTCTTACTGCACCTGTTACAGCCCCACCCTGGGTCACGGCCGTCCAGTGATTGCCGTGGTGAAGGCTCAGTTGTCCTGATACTGTGGGGATGAGTGCAGACGGCCATCACCGTGTGGAATCGGAGCAGGGACGGTGTCCAGCTGGGACTTGGCTCTGGGCCTCTGGCCAGGCTGGGGATGGGAGGACACAAATCCTACAGGTAGGCGGACCCACCCACTCAGGTGACAGCACAGCGGATGAGCCATCCCGGTCCTCAGGCCCGGCTGTGCCAGCGAGGACCTTTCCTCTGCATGCCTCACTTTCCTGGGTTGTGCGTGAGCCTGATGATGGTGCCACTTCGGGTGGTGGTTGAGGACCAGACGGGCCCTCTGCGAGCTTGGAGCGTGGCTTGCCGTGTTCAGTGTGGCAGGATGCATTGGTGCCGAGGGTGGTGAGTGTGCCGCTTGGCGGCCGCCTGACCGGGGTGATCTGCTTCCAGGGAGGCTGCGCGTGGGGGTTTTCCTGGAGGGAGGGATGAGCAGGAGTGCCCTGGTCTGGGCAGCCAGGGTGAGCATGCGCAGTGGTGACGGCCTGGGTGACGGTCTGCCTGTGGGGACGGTCTGTCTGCGATGGTATGACTGGAATGTGGGCATGGGAGGGAGAGTTGGATCCTGGAGGAACTGGGGCCTGGTGAAGCACGCAGCCTGCCGTGTTTGAACTAGGAGTCAGCTCCCACTTGCCTTCAGAGAAGTGACTCTGGGCCCCAGAGGGGGCAGCTGCCGGGCAGGAGCATCAGGGAGTGTCCCCCTGTGTAGGACTGAGTGGGGCCGTGTGAGCCAGAGGACAGAGAGGTGCGAGGTGCGGGGTGCGTGGCCAAGGCAGGCCCAACCGTACAGGTGCAGGTACAGGGACTAAGTCTAGTATTCATAGAGCCGAGCAGGAGGGGTTCCTGTCTCCCTTCTATAAGTAAAGGACCACCTTCCCTCCCTGCTGAACCCAGGTGACGGTGGCAGCTGATGGGGGTCTGTCTCTGACCCTAGAGCCCATGACAGACACCTAGAAAGGTGACTGCATTGGCTGAGGCGATCTTGGTTGAAACAGTTGGGTATGTTATTTGTGCACAACCAAGGAGCACCAAGGCAGGACTGGTTTCAGGCAAGGCTTGATCCAGCGGCATAGGAGTGTCACCAGGGATCTGACCTCCTCAGCTTTGTTCTTGGATGATTTCCCATCGTGACCCCAGATGGTTGTCCCCAGTTCTACCAGTAACCAAGTCTTTGCATCATAAGAAAAGAGAGTGTCCTGGACGCAGTATTCCCACCCAAAGTTTCGTGGCTGGAAAGGACAGATGGGCTCCCTGGACACCTGGCTGCCAGCAGCTAAGTCCTGAGCTTCCATCCAGGGCTACCTGCTCACTGGCGCCACCTGCTGTCTGGTTTGCGTAATGCACTGTTTCTTAAGGTCATTTCTTTTCTTATAAAAGGACATCAGAAACAAATTGACCCAGAAACATTCAGAGACTTCTACAACTGCTGGAAGGAGACAGAAGCAGAGGCCCAAGAGGTCAGTCTGCCTTTGCTGGTGATGGAGCATCTGGATAAAAACGAGTGTGTCTACAAGCTGTCCAGCTCCGTCAAGACCAGCCGCGGCGTCGGTAAGATTGCCATGACCCAGAAGCGCCTGTTCCTGCTAACAGAAGGGAGGCCGGGCTACGTGGACATCTCCACCTTCCGGGACATAGAGGTCAGTGAGCCCACCCGCCAGTTCCAGAATCTAGCTGGTCAGCAGGGAGTGTGGCCGGAGCAATGCCCACTCGCCCAGCTGTGCTGAGCGTTGGTGCAGACCCTCCGCGCGCGCGCGCGCGGCCCTTGGTCTGCCTCAGTTTGCCCATCTGCCAGTGGGAATGACGGGGTGGGTGCCTTCCTGGCAGGGTCATGGGGAGGATGGACCAGGTGTGTGTGTGAGCAGCGTGTTGACCATGGCCAGCTCTGATGCCGCTGCCTTGTGCTTGGGAGGCTCCAGGTGACAGGCAGACTGGCCTTCTCGCTGCAGACTCTAGAGGCAGAGGAACTACTTCCTCCAAGGGAAACTGACCTGGCCAGCCCCCGTGAGCCACCGTTCCTCACTTTATTTTAATATTTTATTATCGTTATTTTTACTTTGGTACCAGGGATTGAACCCAGGGGTGCATAACCACTGAGCCACCTCCCCAACCCTTTTTTATATTTTATTTGGAGACAGGGTCTTGCTGAATTGCTTAGGACCTCATTGGGTTGCTGAGGCTGGCTTTGAACTTGTGACCCTCCGGCCTCAGCCTCCCGAGCCCTGGGATTGTGGTGGTCGGCGTGTGCCCAGCGCGTACCTCACATTTTCTCATCAGGCCACCTGGCTCCTGTTGCTTCTTGAGTGAGCGATTCCACGTGTGTTTTAGCGTAGCCATTTGCACGGCCGGGGAACCTGAACTGTGCTCCTGCTCCATCCTGTGCCTTGCATTATTCGTCTCCTGCACTGGGAGGCCTGTTGGCTTGGTTCATGTGACGCATGACGGTGGCCATGGGGAGGCATTGCGGCTAGCGGCAGCTGAGGTCCGGAGACCAGTGGATGCCACAGCTTGGCTCAGCGGGGTCAGGCTTCCTCCTAGAACCCTCAGGCCGAGAGCTCGGGGCTGTGTTGAGCAGGCTGTCCCAGCCCTGGGTGAGCCCGGTGCGAGGGCTGCTGACAGATGGCTTGGGGTCCCTGCCGGGGCGCTGGGCTCCATTCCAGAGCTCTCTCTGCCCTCCCCCTCAGCCCCAGTGTCCCTTGGTCCGTGGCTTGACACGAGGCTTCTGCTTTCTCCGCCTCTGCAGGAAGTCAGAAGCACCACGTCCACCTTTTTCCTTCTGAGGATACCCACTTTAAAAATCAGAATGGCGTCCAGGAAGGAAGTGTTTGAAGCTAACCTGAAGTCGGAGTGCGACCTCTGGCACCTGATGGTGAAGGAGATGTGGGCTGGGAAGAAGCTGGCCGAGGAGCACAAGGTCCGACACTGGGGTCTCCACTCGTGGCTGACGGGTGTGCCCGCCAGCGCTTAGGCCCGGGTGAGGCCTGGCCCTCCTGGTGGAGGGAGGGAGGCCCTGAAGCTGTGGTGGCTGGACCCAGCTGGAGGCTCACGGCGCGTGGGAAAGCCGCAGGGCACAGGTGGCCCGACACCACGCCTCCTCGTTTCCCTCCATACCCCCCCCCCCCCACTGTTCTGGTGACATCCCAGCAAGTGGAGGGACAGGGTTGGACTGTGCTGACCTCCTCCCCTCTGGGGTCTGAGTCAGGTGTTCTGGGCACACGCGGCTCTGAGTGGCCCTAACGTCACAGGATCTGGGAGTTGATGGGTGGCATTGGATTCCTTCCAGAGGTCATTGATATCCTAGGGATTCTGGCACTTTATCGAGCACCCCGGATGAAGCTGAAGGACACAGGGAGAGGAGGAAGCAGGTGGCGGGCCGTGGTGTCAGTATCGTCACGGCCCCACTAGTCCCCAGAGGAAGGCAGGCTCAGAACGAGCCACCACTGACGGGGGCTCCCAGTCTCGCAGTGGGAAGGCGGGCCCTTTCTACCAGGCCAGTGTTCCGTGGTGTTTGGACTAGCCGCTGACTTTACCTGCTCGGCTTATTTACCCGAACCAGTGCCATCTGGCTACAGCCGCGGGCGGGTGGGCTGCTGGGCAGTTTGGCTTGAGCGCAGCCACCCTGTGTGCTCACTGAGGTCCGCGACACGTCTGTGCCCTGGGCCCGCCACAGAGGAGGAGCAGCCTGCGGCCTGGGCTCCTCACGGCAAGGCTTGGGGGGACGCTGCTGGCTCCCCGTGTAACCATCAACATTTGTCTTAAAAATCGCACCCCATAAACCCAAACTCCTCGTCCACTGACCGCGACCATGGGCTGTGGGCGTGCCTGGGGACGCGCTGCTCCTCCTGCGGCCGCCTTGGGGACCTCTGTGGCTCTTCCTGCGTTGAAATGCACCCTTTTCCACCTTAGGACCCCCAGTACATCCAGCAAGCGCTGACCAACGTCCTGCTGATGGATGCCGTCGTGGGCACACTGCGGTCACCTGGTGCCATCTACGCGGCCTCCAAGCTGTCCTACTTTGATAAGATGAAGAGTGAAAGTAAGAGCAGCTGGCCGGGCGCCGTGCGCGTCTGGGGCGTGTCGAGGTGTGTCCGATGGCGCTGGCCGTCCCCTGGCTTCCTGGCCTGTTGGCCTCCTCCTGACCCGCCTCTCCTCCAGTGGCCGCCTGGCTGCTGAAGCAGACTGGAAATCCAAGGATGGCCACTGAGTGGTGTGGGTGCCTCTGGACGCCAGGGACAGGCCTGGTGGGCTTGGGCCCTCTGCCGGGGCGACCTGCGTGTGCAGGCTGTTCCTGCCTGGCCCACGTTCCCAGGCCGCACAGCTGGGCCCGGCTTGAGCTGCCTCCCGGAAGATGGTTCTCAGTCCGGGTGCCCACGGGTGAGGACGACTCCCCACCATTTCAGTGCTGGCCCCTGTTTTGTTCCCATCTTATGTGATCTCTGGGGCCAGCTGCCTCGGGGTGTGCGCGAGAGGTGGGAGTGTCGAGGACACTTGTTACCGTCGACACCGGCATCAGGCCAACAGCACAAGACTGGTTTCTATGCTAGCGGGTGGCGGCATGTGGCCTGGGGCCCTTGGGGCTGTGGGCAGTGGTTTTCTGAGATAGAGTCCCTGTGTTGTCCTGTAAAGCGGACGCTCAGTGGTTCTGGAGGGTTCCGAGGGGTATGCCATGGCCTCTGGTGAGAGGGACCGGAGCCCATGGGAGTCCTGGCCGACCTGCCCGTCTGTCGCCCCTGGTGGGTGGGATCCGGTGCTTCTGTTTCGTCTGTTTGAATTGGGACGATAATATCAGCCTCGTCAGTCTGTGAGGCTTGACACAATAAGGCAAGAGGGCAGCTGGGCAAGTACCAGAGCACAGCCGCCCCGACTGTAGTGCCCACGTGATCAGTGGGTAACTGCGGCCAGGAAGTCCCCTGAAGTCACTGAAGCTGCCCTGTGACAAGGAGACGGTGCCTGGTACTCATGGTTGGGGCTGGCGGGCAGGAAGTGCCCAGGACCCCGTTACGGCACGTGGTGCCAGCAGCCCAGATGGAGGCAGCTTTGTCTGGAGACGGGGGTTTTCTGCAGAAGGGGGTGTCGGCTCCTCCACAGGCCAGTGGCTTCTAACTGGGGCGACTCTGTACCCGCTCCCTGTGGAGAGGCCTCGGCAGTGCCGAGAGACATCGAGGGTGTGTGGGGGGTAATGCTGGCATCTGGGGGGCACGGCCAGGGACGCTGCTGAACATGGCACAGCACACAGGACACAGGTCAGCCCCGCAGCAGGGGACGCCAGCAGGGACGCCCAGCCTGCGTCGTCATTCTGGGGCTGAGACTGCTCTTGAGCTAGTTTCCTTGGTTGCTGCAGCTGGGGGCTGTTTTGTTACTGAGGGATGTTTCAAGTGCCCTCTCTGCTAGGCAGCAGCTTCGGGCTGGGAAGGGGGCACTCCCCACGGCCCCCCATGCTGCCACACATAGGCTACCCCGAGAAGGGCCTGACGCTGCTGTCCTTGGACCTGGCTGCAAGGATGCCACCTGTGTCCTCGTGCCAGTGAACTGACTCCAGGTTTTGTCCTCAGTGCCCACGGCGTTCCCCATGACGACCGCGGAGACCCTGAAACACAAGATCAGCCCTTGGGTGGGGGAGACGGCGCCGCAGGCGGTGGACGTGCTGCTGTACACTCCAGGTGAGGGCTGTCCGTCGGGGCTGCTCTTCTACCGCTCATCTGCCAAGTTAGGGTTTGGGTGCGAGGTCACCCCGAAGCTAGAGGCTACAGACCCGTGGGAAGCGGTGCAGGGCAGGGGCTTGGGGGGTGAGCCCTCAAGAGGCAAAGGCCACACCCAGACTCACCCGTCCCAGCGTGTTTGTCCCCTGCCCTCCAGAGCAGGTGCAGGGCACTGGCTCCCACCGGGTCACGTGGGTCGCTGGGAGTCACTGAGGCTGCCCTGTGACAAGGAGACCGGGCCTGGTACTCGGGTCGGGGCTGGCGGGCAGGAGCTGCCCTGCCTTGCCCTTCCCTCCCCTCCCCCCCTCCTGTTGGGTGCCTTTCCTGCATATGACTTTCTGGCTCTCTAAGAGCTGCATTTGGATGGTAGGAGGGAGAACGTGGTGCACCCCGACTCCAAGCACCAGCAGGGGCCCTCCTTGGGCTGTGGTTGCACATCAGAGCACTGGGCTCTGGATGGCGGAGGACAGCAGCAGGGGCCATGCTGAGGGCAGGTGGTGGCAGGTGGGGCCGCTGGCTTCAGGCAGGAAGAACTTTCAGTTTGTTGTCAGTTCTTTGCTCCAGAAGGACTTAACACGAGCACCACAGAACACTCCCGCGTGGCCTCACGGATCCGTTGATTGACAATGGGCGCACGTTCTGGGGCGGTGGCCACGTGCTCTCCCGGGGAAGGGCCACGTGTCGGGAGAAGCAGCAGCAAAGCAGGGGGTGGTGGGGAATGAGCAGAGCAGAGCCCAGCGCGTGCCTTGGACCGGGACTACGTGGCTGCTGACCGTGGCGCTCACTGGCTCTGGCTCCATGGCCACGGCGCCTGGACTGCGGGCTGTTTTCAGATCCAGGGCCCTTTCCCTTGAATTACAACTGACCAGCCTCTGGGCATCTTGCCCCTGTGGGACGGTGGTGTGGAGGGGCCGGGGCCTGCCAGAGGGGAGTCCTGGTAACCCTGGCTCTCGGCTGGACTCCCAGGGTTGACAAGCCAGCCACGGACCAGTGCAGTAGACACCCCGAAGGTGGCTACCAGGACTCCTCCTAATGGTGATGGGCAGTGCTTGGGGGGGGGGTGGGCAAGGACTGTCCACGGGGGATGGGGCCGGGCAGATGAATCCTGACCCCCTCTCCCCACGATCAGTTCCAGGGGACTGAAATCTAAACTTGATGGGCACAGCAACAAGCAATTAAAGCAAGCGGACCTGCACCAGGCCCTGCAGAAGGGGCCTCTATCCCAGGGCAGGCCCATGGCCCCTGGGGCCTCTAAAAGCCCTGACCCTGAGGCAGACTGGTGGATTTGGCCACGGTGGAGCAAAGGGCTTTTTTTGAAGGTCCTGCAGGAGTTCCAGCGGATGTCTGCTGGGCCATAGTAGACGGGAGGAGGAATAGCACCAGTTGGTGGTGGGCAGAGTGGCCAGGGGCTCGGGCCTCAGCCTCATTAATGGTTAGGGAAATGTGCAAGCCTATGGCCCCTGCCCCTGGGGGGCCCAGACAGGAGGTCTTGAGACCAGCCCGGGTAACGTAGAGAACCATCTTGAAAACAAAACCCCGAAACTTTTACTTCTTTAGAGTGGCCAAAGTTAAAAGGCCACCACTGAGCGTCAGGGAGATGGGGGACCCTCCTACGCCTTGGTTGGCATGGCACTTGGTGGCTCCTGCCTAGGCCTCTCCAGCTGACCCCTGCTTTCTGTGTCCAGTGCTCATCAGCCCCTCCTGCTGTTCCCGGCTCTGGAACTGTGGCTCTCTAGAGGCCCTGACGCACCTGCCTGGTGCCACGCAGGGCACCTGCCCTGGGTGCTCTGTCTGTATGGTTCTCGGCAGCCAGTCTGCGCCCAGGGGCAGGCGTGTGGCCTCCTTGCCTGGTGGTGCCTGGGACCCCCCTCACGTCTCTGCCATTGATTTCCTCTTCAGGGCATCTTGACCCAGCAGAGAAGGCAGAGGATGCCCGCCCCAAGCTGTGGTGTGCCCTGAGTGGGGGCAAGGTGACCGTGTTCGATGCCTCCTCCTGGACCGTCCACCAGCACTGCTTTAAAGTGGGCACCTCCAAAGTGGTGAGCAGGTGGGGGCCCTCAAGTTCAGATGGGCCCAGAGCCTCTCCCCGGCCCCCAGCTTTGTGAAACAGTCTCATCTTTGCTGGGGTCTGAATGCGGCCTGCCCCTCCCACCACTATGGCCCGCTCATGGCGGGGGGGAAGCTCCGGGCCACCCAGGTGTGCCGGGCCCAGGGTCACAGAACCCCTATGGTATTTTCTATGATTCTGGTGATGCCTAGTGAGGGGCAGTGGGTGCCCTCCAGGGTGTCCAACCACCCTGCGTCCTAGCCAGCAGAGGCCAGGCCTGTCCTGGGCGCTTGGTCCTTTTGTTCCTTTGAGTCTGAATGAAGTTGAGGGTTTTATAACCAGAATGGCTGGGAGTTTCTTGGCCTGGTCGTGGTGTGGCCTCCTGTGGACACAGCAGCTTGAGGGTGCCCCTAACCCTGCACTGGTCCTCCGTCTCCTCAGGCGCTTGGCAGCCCTTCCCTGTCCTCAGACCACCATTGCCGGAGGACTGTACCTTCTGGCCAGTCTGGTGGGTGTGAGAAGCATCTCCCGTTGAGCTGTTTGCATTTTTCCGGTCACTTGTGACCGTCTTTCTGTTTTGCCTGCCCTCACCTTGACTGGGGGGGTCTCACTGTGTACCCAGGCTGCCCTTGAGCTCCTGGGCTCCAGGCACCCCCCCCACCCCGTCCCCGTCTCGGCCTTCTGAGCAGCTGGGACTCCAGGCCCACCGTGGCTGGCTTCTGAGGACCCTTCGCAGACTCACAGGTGCGGCCTCTCTGGAGTCCCAGCCTCTGTCCAGTCTGTGCTGCCAGGTGGTTTGGTGCCCTGTACTCCCACTGTGCAGGGGCTGTCCCCTGTCCAGGAGAAGGCACAGTTCCAAGGGACCCTGCAGGGAGATGCCCTGCCCTGTGCCTCACACAGCACAACCCGCTGAGCTCACATGTAACGTGAAGAGGACGTTCCAGCGAAGCCTCAGGCAGCTGCTTAGGGTCCATTTTGGTGGTTGCATCTTATCTAAAAATAACAGGACGCTCGTGGCGTGAGCAGAAAATGAGTTTTCACACTGTTCCAGTGGGTGCTTTCAAAGCCAAAAACCCTGTGACTGCAGCCCGGGCACCGAGTGCCTGGGATCAGGCCGTCCAGGTACCTGGATGTCAGACTCGGCAGCGCGCAGGGGAGGGAGAGGCCACGGAACTGCTTCCCGAACCCTTCCCATAGTCCGCAAGTCTATGGACTTGGACGAGTGGGAGGGTCTGAGTTACCAGAAGTGAAAACGTGCGCGTCTGACCACACTCAGAGCTGGACAGAAGCAGAAAGAGAAACTAAGGGAACTGTCCTTGTTCTGAGTTGAGAGCCCACCAGAGCCTTTTTAATAAGATCCCAACGACAGTAAGCCCCAAAGGCTGCCTTGGTAGCAGTCCCCGCCCTCCGATTAGTCCTGGGAAACAAGTGTGCGTCTGTGTCTGGAGCCCAGTGGGGCAGCGGCCACCAGTTCCCGTCGTGCCTCTCGCCCTGTTAGAGCTGCATGGTGATGGCGGAGCAGAGCCAGCTGTGGATTGGCTGCGAGGACTCCGTCATCTACATCATCAACACCCACAGCATGTCCTGCAACAAGCAGCTCACGGACCACCGCTCCGCGGTCACGGGCTTGGCTGTGCAGGATGGGAAGAAGCCCAGGTACGGTGGCTCTGTGGGGTCAGGGGTGCCAGTGTGAAGGGTGCTGGGCTCAGAGCAACGCGGGTCCAGAGGCGAGGTGGGCAGCGACCCTGCTCGTGGGCTCAGAGGAAGGCGCTGACCCTCGGTGACCATCGTGGGCAGGCGTGGCGACAGGGATGAGCTTTCTCATTGTTACGTTGAAACCTGTAAGTGAGAGATCCCCTGAGCTTTCACTGTTGTCATCCTTTAAAACTGTCATTGTTAAGTCCCCAGCTCCCACAAAGCCACCTGCTGGCCAGCAGCCTGTAGCCTGCCCAGGCCTGGCAGGGTTTCTGTTCCTGCTGGGCCGATGACCTCACTTTGACTTGGAAAAGGGCCTGCCTCCATGTCAGGTCCCGTTCTGAGGTCCTGGGGTGAGGACACATGTTTCTCAGGGACAGTTCAACCTGACCCTGGTTGTGTCACTCACTGTCTGTTCCTGTTACCTGAGGGCAGGCTCTGGTTCTGCTCACCACGTGTGTCCTGTGGTGAGGATAGGGCCTGGCACAGCACTGCCCAGGTCAGGGGCTCACCTGGAAGACAAACAGGCTGGCTAGGGCAGGACCAGGGGTGGCGCTGGCCAGTCCCCCTCCCTGCAGCTGCAGTGCAGGCCCTCTGTGGCCCCTCTGGGCTGGGCAGCCCTTGGTGGGCCTTGTTTCAGTCTATGGTCTTGCTGTGGCTCTGCCCAGGACAGGCTCTGTGCGACTGGGTGCCCCACAGCCTGCTCCTGCCCCGGACGGCCGGGCGGCACTCGCCTTCCGTGTTATGGATGCTTAATGGCGACTTGTTTCTCCTGGGGCTGAAGGCCTGGGGCCCAGGGGCCCTGTTCAGTGCATGCACATGCCTTTGATCCCTCCAGCCAGGTCTTCTCCTGCAGCCTGGACGGGACAGTCCTGGCATGGAACGTGAGCACGCTGCAGGTGACCAGCCGGTTCCAGCTGCCAAGCGGAGGTCTCACGTCCATCAGTCTACACAGTGGCCATCTGTGGTGCTGTAAGTCCTCCAAACCACCCTGACCCTGCTCTCAGAGCCTGTTTCCCTCTGCCTGGGGCACCTCTGGTTTTAGGGTCAAACTGGCAACCTGCAGGCACTCTCTGTCACTCTTCCCTGCTGGCTGTGCCCAGGCCCCCGACTTCCCGGCCCCTGCTGCCCTGATGTGCCAGCCACGCCCGCCTCCCTGTGCTCTTGCTGCACATGCTCTGGGGTGAACCTGTCCCAGGTGTCCCTGAGTCCCCTGCTGCCCCATCACCCTCCACAGCCACCTCCCCTGGGGCCTCACTGGGCCACCCCTGCCACTCCCAGCACATCCCTGGGACCTGAGCATCCTCAAGGCCAAGCCAGGCACTTTGCAGGAGATGGGAGGCATAGCCTCTGCCTGGCGGCTCATGTTGCCCTGGGGGGGACACCCAGGGCACAGATGTTGCCTGTGGCTGAAGGCCTCCCTGTGGGCGTGGCCAGACAGGGCGCGTGGTTGTCCCCAGTTCTTTTACATTGAAGTACTTTAGTGTAGCGAGATGCACAGGACCCTCCACGCCCCCCCCCCAGTCTCTGCAGGGGATCGGTTTCAGGAGCCCCAGGGCTGCTCACGGCCTTCATCCGAAGGTGTGGGGCGTGCACCCTCCTGGTGCTTTACGTCACCTCTGGGCCACTTACCTACCTGGCATGACAGTGTCATGAAAGGCTGACAAGGGTTAAGGCAGCTGCAGGAGCCTGCTCCCAGAGCAGGCAGAGTGGGGGGGGCCAGAGTCAGAGTCTCTGTGGGGGTCAGGGGTTTTAACCAGCCAGTTCCCCAGAGCCGTCAGGCAGGGCTCCAGAGGACGCCAGTTCTGGAATGTCAGTTGGAGGTGTGATCTTGGAGTGAGGTGTGCGTCACTGTCATGGGCAGGACAGAACCAGGCATTTTCTGACGAGTGACCAGCTGACAGGATGCTGCCGTGTTTAGTCGGGGGTGGGGGGGGGTTCCTTTTATGGGTCTTAGATGAGGGGTTGCATCTGATGAGGCTGATAAACTCCCAAGTGTGAGCTGGGTGTGGTGGCACATCCTGTAAACCCAGTGACTTGGAAGGCTGAGGCAGGAGGATTGCATGTTCAAGGCCAGCAACTTAGTGATACTGTATCAAAAAATAAAAAAGAGCTGGGGATGTAGCTCAGTGGTGAAGTGCCCTGGTTCAATCCCTGAACCAAAACAGAAAATAGCCAACCAAACCACCACCGCCACCGCCACCGCCACCTGCATTCTGGTGTTCCTGATGGGTTGGGATGTCCTCAGGCTCCTGATTTCTTCGTTTGATCAGTTGGCAGGAATCACTTGTTTACTGCCTGGTTCTTTGTGGCCGTGCTGGGCAGATGGCGGTCGATTACTTGCACAGACCAGGTGCAGAGTCACCTTCTTTGGTGGTTGTACTCAAAATAGAGCAGACCCTGGCAGGCTTCTGTTCTGTAGGATGGAGTAGCTTGGGGCAGGCACAGTCCAAGAACATCTGTTGTACACACCATGGAGGGACTCAGAGCAGGGTTCAGACAGAAAGAAGAGGGGCCAGGCCAGGGGCACCCCGCAGTGACCCACTCTGCTCCTCTCAGGCCCCAGCGCAGGCTGAGGATAAGCCTTCCACACGTGGGCCTTTGGGAAATTCCAGGCCCCAACTGCAGCGGTTGGGAAGGTCCCTCTGCGCCCTGTTGGCTGTGAGCCTCCTGGTGATGTTCACTTCAGTTCTAGAGTCTCCATTTGGTTTTTGTTTGGAGGACTCCATTTCTCTCCTGACTTCCTTGTGCCCTCACCTGGCCTGTCCCTGTGTGCTGGGCCCACCCTGGGACGATCACACACCAGTGACGTGCTGAGCCCTACCCCCTGTTCTCTGCCCTCTGGGTCTGTACGGTGGGGGTGGGCGGTGAAGCTCCTGCAGTGGTTGGGAGCTGGTCCCTGCCACTCGGGCCTCCTGTGGCCCTGCTCCACACTCCCACTTGTTAGTCCAGGCAGGTGACAGCACCCGGCCGGGGCTTCCTGGCGTGCGGTGCTTGTCGGGCGGCACCAGAGGCAGCTCCCAACCAGGCTTAGAGGGGGGAGAGGAGAGCCCTTGTGAGCCCCTTCACTATCAGGCCGGCCAGGGTCCCAGGGCCCACTCGTCAGGTGAGGCTGGCAGCTGGAGGGGACTGCAGTGCAACGTCCCCATGGTGTAAAGCCATCGGCATCTCGGTGGGGGCACCTACTCCAGCTCCTGGGACCCGCTGTCTCCCAGCACCCGTGTACCCAGGCCTCTTTGCTTGTGAGCGGGATGCTACCCGAGAGCCAGGCTTGTCCTCCTGCCCTCCGGCCTGCACTGTTCACACGGGACACCGGCGTGCCAGGGGCAGGGGACAACGCAGTGGCTCCGCCAGGTCAACTCCAGCCTGACCAGGCCGGCTTTGTACCCCCTCCTGGGCTGGTTTTGATGGCTTGGAGCTCGCAGAGAGGCACACACTGCTGGCCTGCAGGGAGGCCCCTCACCTGCAGGATGACAGACCGAGGGTTGTGCTGGTGCTGCGCACAGGGAAGCTGGGTGTCACTGGGTGGGGCTAGGACCCGCTTTGGCTGCTGGAGAGGGAAATCCCCAAACACCAGAGGCCCGAGGTGCCCAATCCGCCCTGCCTTCTGCCCCACTGCCCACGCCGAGAGGCCCCTGGCAAGCTCGGGCCCAGGCCCCCCCCCCGCCCCCGTGTTAAGCGTGGAGCAGCGGTGGGTGGGCTCACGCTCCGCGTCACAGGGACACTCGCTGCCCTGACCCTTCCAGCCCACCATGCGTCACCCGCCGCTCCTCACCAAGCTGTCCTCCTGCAGGCACAGGTGACAGCATCTTGGTGCTGACCCTGCAGGGCACCTTCTGCCAGGAGCTGAGGAGCGACCAGACCCCGAGCAACACACGCACCTCTTTCGTGGGCTTCCAGCTCTTCCACGAGGTACTGCAGAGCAGCCGGCTGCCCGCTGCAGGGGCGGGGCTGCCTTGGCCACAGGCCCACGGTGGTTTCTGTCCAGCAGGAGCAGCTCTGGGCGGCCTGTGTGGGTCACAGTGAGGTCTACGTCTGGAGCTTGAAGGACCTGGCCCGGCCGCCGCAGATGGTGCCCCTTCAGGACTGCTCCCAGATCCACTGCCTGCTGCTGGTGAAGAGGCAGGTGAGCCGCCGCCTTCCCTCCGGGGTCCTCCCTGCAGTGGGGCTGGGCGGAGGACGAGGCCTGCAGTATCCTGGATAAGCCTTCCACACGTGGGCCTTTGGGAAATTCCAGGCCCCAGCTGCAGCGGTTGGGAAGGTCCCTCTGCATCCTGTTGGCTTGTGAGCCTCCTGGTGATGTTCACTTCAGTTCTAGAGTCTCCATGGTGTGACTGTGCTTCTTAGAAGCTGGACGTCCCAGAACCGCATTCTGGGTGGCTTCAGCCGCTCACTAGACCTCTGCCCTCAGGCCTGAGTGGGTTGAGGGTGAGGGCACGTAAGCGCTTAGCAAGTGTCAAGTCCACAGACAGTGTGTCTGACCACGGTCACATGGTCCCTGTGGTCCCTGGGCTGGGAGGCCTGGGAAGAGGGCTCCAGAGGCCACAGAGGGCTGTGGCCCCCAGCTCTGTCCTGTAGGTACATCAGGTGGCCTGTCCAAGAGGGACTCGGCTTCGGGGCGCAGAGCCCAGGACTGGGCCATGCCCACGCCCTCGAGGCTCTTGGATCCTGGCTGACACGCCTCCCGTTTCTCCCTGCAGATCTGGGTGGGAGGCAGGGGACTGTCACAGGGGAAACTCAAGGGGAAAATCTACGTGATCGACGTACAGCGGAAGACCGTGGAAAAGGAGCTGGTGGCACACGCGGACACCGTGAGGACCCTGTGCTCGGCAGAGGACAGATACGTGCTGAGCGGGTCTGGCGGGGAGGAGGGCAAGATCGCCATCTGGCAGGTGGAATGAAGGCAAAGGGCCTGCTGGCTGCCCTGGGCGGGGACAGCACCTTCTGCAGCCTTCCCCTCCGCAGGAGCCTGAGGGGCAAGGGGTGCCAGTGACGGGCCCCGGCCCTGTGCGTCTCTGGACGGTCTGTGTGGGTGCTTGCTCAGGCTGGCCGCCACATCTCCTTTCCCACTACCTCTGCCAGAGGTGTCCTGTGCCACCTGCAGAGTTCCAGAACCCACGCCCAGGGGACAGCACTGGGCCCAGAGCCGACCAGGCTGGCCTCTCCTTCGCCTCCCTCATCCACTCCACCACGAGTCACGTGGGCATCACAGGGGGTGTGGCGGGCACATGGAGGAGCGCCAAGGGCTGCGGCCTCCATGACTGCTCGTTCTGGGGAGGCTCTGGGGAGTTTAGGAGCCCAGGCTGTCCCGCCAGAGCAGGTGGCTGGGGCTGCCCGAGGGGCGGGGCGGCGCTGTGATCTGTTGTGCAGACTGGGGGACTAGCTGGGGCAAGCTGCTGCTGCTTTTCTTGTTAAAGTAAGATTTCTATAATGAAGAAACCCAGAGACTCTGTTTCACCACAAACTTCGGCAGGTCTGGGTGGGGAGCCCGTGGCCCTGCCTGGGTGCAGAACCACTTACCAGTCCTGCCTTCCCAGGCCACTCTGGGCCTCCTGAGCATGCTGTGGACTGACGTGCCGGCGAGGCTGCACCACCCGAGAGGAGCTGTAGATAGTCCAACGCTCGCAAGGAGGTCTGTGTATATTTTCATGCTGCAACTGAGATTCCATTCCTGAAATGTTCTGTAAAGAAGGTTTGGGCCTTGTTGCCGGACACAGAGGGAACATTTGTCCACTGGCACAGTTTTGGCTTGTGGCCAGTCCATGGGCTCAGCCTTGGGGTCACCTGGACACTGTCAGGTTTTTGGGACTTAGCTGGACACATGCTAATCTTGCTCGCCAAGGGCTGCTCAGGGTGTCTGTGGGCCCCCGGACCAGGGCCATGCTTGGGCATCACCCAGGTGCCACGTGAACACGAGCCCCTAGATGTGGCTGGATCTACATTTTGAAAGGACTGCATCACCGGGCAGAATGTTCCCTAAGTGTGGTTTTGCATAGCCACCAGCTTTTCAGTGTCCTGGAACATGGCACAGAGAAGGGCTCAGGGTTGCACCCTGCTTGTCTGTGTTTCGGGGGCGCTCCCGACATCTGCAAGGCGGGGCTGACAGCAGAGGCCAGAGGTTGAGCTCTGCCTTTGTAAACACGTGCGAATGTCCAGGGAGAGTCTGTCAGAAATTCAGTAACGACTGTTTAATACCAAGCCATGTGTAGCCAGGTGTCTTCAGTGTGAATAATAAATTCTTTATTTAGTAACTGCTAATGTCCAGTTGATTTTTGCCATCATCAACTGGAAGAGGTCTCCAGGCAGCGTAGGACCATTTTGAACTTGCTCTTGACTCATGCCAAGCACCAGATAAGTTATCTCACTGCAGGTGATAATTTCCAGGATTGTGTATGATGGTGATTGGGTTTGAAACAACCAGTGCAGAACCACAGGCTTTTACGAGGTGGTCATTTATGTAAGAGGGAGTGGTGAGCACCGGAATCGAGGGGCAGTGGGCTACGGTGAGTGGCCGCTGTGCTTATGTAAACAATCCTTGCTGAGCGCTGGCTGGGATGGAAAGGGCACCTCGATGCCATCAGGGTCCACCAGGAACTGCTCAGAGGTTCCACCTGGGCTGCTTTGCTGGGCTCTCATGAAAATATATAAAAATATATAAAACCGAGAAAGCTCCTGCAGAGGGTTGAATGACATCAAAGGTATGTCCACATCCTGACTTGACTTGGAGAAAGGGTCTTTGTGGATGAAATGATGATCTCAAATGTGGGCAACTGGCCTGAGGAGGCGGGGACAGGGGCACACAGGGAGAGGCCTGCGTAGGTGGAGCAGAGGATACAGATGCAGCCAAGCCAGCCCGCAGCCGTGGGGGCTTAGAGGAGCAGGACGGCTCACCCCCAGAGCCTCCAGAGCCCCCCACACCTGGATTTCACTCTGCGGCCTACAGAACTGTGAAGAATCTAACTTCTGCCATAGGAAGTCGCCCAGGTGGTGGTCACCGGTTATGCAGCTGCAGGACACTCCCATGGCTGTTGTGGAGCGTTTGCTCTGGGCAGGGCTGGCCAGGCTTTTCAAATGCACTACCGTGCCTGGTGCTCAGAACACTTACCACATCGAGGATCGAGGAACACTGTCCCCACGTGATCTGTCAGGGCCCCCTGGCCCCAGCAGTGACAGCAAGGCTGCAGGGAGCACCTGCTCCTCATTTCCCCGGAGTCGATGGTTCTTCAGGGGCTCAGGGCTGGTCTGGCCCTGACGGGGTGGAGGGAGGTCCTATCAGCCAGTCTCCTAGCTCTTAGGGGGTGGGAGACGGGTGGTCCAGAGTGTCAGTAGCCCCTGCCTCTTAGCCTGTGTCCTGGGGCAGGGAGGGAAAGAAAAGGGAAAACAGTGGACAACACCAAGAGTTCATTCTGTAAAGAATGATAAACTATCAAGATTGCTCAAGGGAAGAAAAAAACAGTGTCATATTACATGATTTTAAGCTTTACTAAAAACCACAGGAATTAAGACACCGTAGGATTTGACCTGATGGCAAATGCACCCACAGAACAGAGTGCAGGGTCTAGCACAGTCCGCAGTCAACTGACTTTCAGGAAGAAAAAGTCGATTCCGTGAGAAACCCGCTGAGCACACAGTGCCGCCCCGGCTGGACAGGGAAGAGAGGACGACGCTGAAGAGCAGCTCAACCCTCTCCTCACGTGAAAATTCAATAACCAAACTTACTTCAAGGAGGTTCACAGATCTAAATGTAAAACTAGAAGTTCTAGAAAGTAGCCTAGGAGAATGTTTTTGCAACCTAGTGCAGACAGAGATTTTTTTAGAGAACACAGGAAAAAAAATCTGAAATCAAAAGAAAAAATAGAACCACTTACCTGACTGGCAAAAGCAGCCAGACACAAAACAGGTGGCACTTACCGGGCTGGTTGGGTTCATGGCTGTCTGGGTGGCAGTGAACTGGCTGCAGTCCAGGAGTCCTGGGCAGTGGGGCGTCAGTTTCTCAGGTGCCATTTGTCAAAACTCATAGAACTGCTGACTGCATACCTGTTGGTTTTACTGTGTGTGAAGTAACCGTGGTTAAAGCACAATACCCTGACCAGCGGTGTGGGGTGCTAAGCGCTGGTCATGCAGGGCGTCAGCCAAACCCAAACGGCTGCACAGTGCAGAACCGGAGTGTCCGCTTTTTGTAAAATAAAAACTTCTTTTTAACATTATTTTGCATGCAAAGATGTAAAGGTTGTGCAGTTCGGGGTGGGGGGCGTGGGGTGCCATTTTCTACATTATTTACTGCTCCTTGCCCCACGGTGGCCAGTTTGTCCCCTCTGAGCTCAGGTAGCACACCCGTGGACCTCTGGGTGTGCTACTCAGGTGGCCCCAAGTTGGAGCACGAGATGTGCTGTGGAGGAGGCCCCCTCTCGGTGTCGCCCCAGTCACGTGTGTCCACAGCTCCCTGCTGCAGGGGGAACACAGGGTCTTGGGGACAACCGGACTCGGTCCTGCCATGTGGGTTCCCTGCAGAGAAACTCGCCCATGAGGTGCAGGGGCTGCAGCCTTCCCAATACTTGGCCTCATGTCCCTCGATGACCTCACCCTACCCAGCTGTGCTGAGGGGCTCTTGCCTGCATTCCCCACCATCGCCCCTGCCTCACCCCTGGCCAGCAGGTGGGTGCATTCTGGCTCAAATCCCACCAGCTGGGACTAGCCTCCTATTTCCCCTGCTGCCAACTGGCTGTGACATTGACAACCCTCTTGGGTGGAATGCCATAAGACCCAGATGGTGTTTTCTGCCCCAGGACCCTGCGTGCATTAGGGACCACCAAGGGTCACCCACTGCCCCTTCCTGGTGTGGCCACTCATGCCCATGTTGGCACGTCAACCAGACCCGGGGCAGTCTGCAACTTCCCAGCCCCTCCTCCACCGGAACAGCCCAGCCAGGCTGCGGAGCTGTGGCTCTCAGTGCAGCAGAAGCAGGGTTGGGGAACTCAAGAGGTGGGCCCAGGTCTGTAGCTGGGGGAGCCTCAGGGAAGTGGAGACCTTCCTTGTGCCCACCCCTACCTCCAGCCCTGGGAGCAGCCCTCCTCCCTGCTCCTCAAACCCAAGGAGGGCAGAGGGCAGCCATGGGGAAGTGACAGAGAAACCCACATCGGCAGCTTAGAGGGAAGGAAGGTTTATTCAGAGGAACAGAGGAACAGAGGAAGGGGTGGCGCTGACCTCTGCACAGGCTCCTCTGCAGGAGGTCAGTGCTGCAGCCCCATGCGTGCAACAAGTGGCTGCAGAGAACACGGAAGCCCCGGCTCTGCGGAGAACAGACACACACAGGAGAAGAAACTAAGTCATGTGTGACATTACTCTTCTTTATAATCCCTTTTCTCATAAAACATAACATCATGTGTTTAACACACACTTAAACCATTGCTAAAATCAGCAAGAGCTATTACAGTGTTCCAACTTAATAAGTTGATTTAAAAAGTTGTCCTGTGGCCAGTTCACAATGGAACCAAATAGCTTTGTTCCGAGGTGCTTGGGGAGTTTCTCTGGTACCAGGCATTTCAGGCAAACGGACCATCCAGTCTCAGTCCAGTGCACACAGTGACTGCCCCGTCAGCTCCAGGGAGGGCAGTAGAAGCCACCAGAGGAGGGCATCAGGCTCTCCTAGAGGTCTGAAGATGGGCAGGCCAAGGGGCCGCTTAGGCTGGGGCTCTGGCCAGGATGGTGATGCCAGCCTCATGTGAGGTGGTGACCAGTGCTGCTTAGGCTGGGCCCAACACACCACCTGAGCCAGGACCAGTTCACCTGGAACTGAACGGACAACACTCCCAGGTGGTGCTGGACAGTGCCCAGGAGTTCTTGGAAGCAGGCCACTCCCGACAGGCCGGTGGGGCCCAGCTGGACACAGGCTGGACGCTGGCAGTGGGACGCAAGTCTCAGAAGCGGCTTGATGGATGTACAGAGACAGACAAGGCTGTTTCTGGTGGCAATTCACACACCTGGTCTTGGTGGCTAAGGTAGGCAGACGCTCAGGGAGATGGAGCAGCTGGAATCAGAGTACTCTTCAGACGTGCGACCAGTACCACAGGCCGCAGAGGTCATGGGCGCTGGAGGAGGGGACTCAGCTCTGGGCATCAGAGCACTTGCTGCTGCGCTGCCTCTCCCACCCAGAGCCTTGCGGAAAGACTGAGCCCAGCTGGAAGCTACTGGCGATCTGCGGAGGGCGTAGCTGTCCTGCCTCACCCAGGAACATGACTAGACACAGTGCCTTCCCCAGGCCTGGCCCTTGCTGGGGCCCCAAAGCTCGAAAGCCAGTGGGCAACGTCACCTCAGCTAAGACCCCTGGCATTAGGCTAAGAGAAGGAGAACACCACGCCCACCGCCAGCTCCATAGCTACCAGGGCGCGTCAGAGCCATTCTGCCAACAGAGGGGGCCAGCTGGAGGCTGGCAGGGGCAGCCCACGCCTCTTCCCCCTCCTACCAGCCTGCGCTCCTGCAGAGGGAACTTCCCCATGTGTAAGAGCCATCTTGCCAAAAGATAAGATACTCAGTTGACTCTTTACAGCACATAAAAACACCAATCAGACCAAGGCCACCCTACCCAGGGAGCCAACAGTGCTCAGCCACTGAAACCCCGCGCAACCCTCGCAAGCACTCGGGGGCACAGCCAGGGGCCTACCCGGCCCAAACCTGAGGGTGCTGCAGGCTCACTCCACATTGTGTCCTCAGCTCTGCCAGGGTCCCGTAGGCCCAAGTCTTTCAAGTTAAGAGGCCACAGATGGGGTGCCTGTGGGACTTGGCACTCCCACCTCTCCCCTGCTGCTGTGACCTGAGGTGTGGACGGCGCACGAGCGCCAGGCCAGCGTGTCCTCTGAAGCAGCAGGCACAGCCAGCCTGCCCTTCTCCTTGGCTCTTAAGACACAGGCTCCAATGCCCACAGCCTCAGGCTGGTCGGACTGCAGTCAACTCATCCCAAGGGAGGGCCTAAGGGTCCTGTGCCCAGACCAGACCCACGCCCAGAGTTCAGGGATCTGGGTCACCCACGTCTACCTACCAGGGGAAACCGGAAACTGACTCCACCAGTGACCCTAGGAACTAAGTACACTGACCAGACTCACAGGAACAGACTTTGGTTGCAAGTATCTAGAGGGCTACAGCTCTGGAGCTCCACCAGGTGTGAGCCAACTGGTGTCACCTACGAGCGGACACTGGCTTCCTTTCTGGTATCTCACAGTGGCTCTGATGAGGCCTGTGTGGGAACACAGACGTCTTCGGTTGTCAATTGAGATCACAGCCAAGTCAAGGCCAGGGTCAGAGGACCAACACGGCAGGTGGTGGCCCCAAGCCTCCACCCGCACACCTTGGCCAGGCAGAGCTGCAGGTGAACCAGCTTCAGGTGGCACAGGTGACAGGGGCACAGTGCATAGCTTCCGATTAGACCCCATGCTGCGCCTGGCTGTTCCACTTCTTGGTTCAGACCAGCCCCTGCCCGTCCAGCTTTCTCTGGCCCCCATTTCCTAGTCATTAGGTGGGGAAGGGCCAGCGGCAGCCAACAGCCAAGGCGGGATCTCAGGAAGGACCTGCTACAAGCTCTGAGCACTAAAGAGAATCAGGCTGCACAGGAGGGCCCCGCCAAGGATGCTCAGCCGAGGAGGAGCCCAGGAGTGCCCGTCACCCTGAGAGGGACAAAGTGCCCAGTAGGTAGGGCTTGGCTGGTGGGAGGGCTAACGATATGCCAGCGGCGCTTTCAGTAGTTGAGACCTTCCCCGTCCAAGCACAAGATTCACAAGGCCACTCTCAAGAGTTGGTATGTACAGAAAGCATCTGGGCCGGAAGCCTGTCCTCAGCTGGTGGAACGCACCCTTACGCCCTGAGTACACACCTCATAAACAGGCACCAAACTGTTTCTTGTACACAAAACATAAAAGCTACAAAGTGCCACCAGTGGCAGGAGACATGGCAAGAGCAGTGGCCTGCTATGGACATTAAACAGCCATTCCTTAAGTACACAGAAAATTCAAGTAATTTATTTAAAAACTGCTTAGCTTCATCTTGAAATATATATGTGTATAAATATATGTATATATATGCTTTAGAATGATCATATTGCAGCATGATTCTCATGCATTTTAAAGTACTTTATTTAAAAAACAACTCGTGGCAACACGAGCATTACAAGGTCTGGCTCCGTCTGGGTGACTGCGGGGCTGCCCTCCTCCTCCTGACCTCAGTGAGCTCAGACCGACCGTTTCAAACAAGTGGACACGGCTGAGTTTTTCATAGAGATTGTGGTTGAAAACACTCCAACCACCGCAGCATTTGGTGACTGTTCTTCCCCACAGCCTGAGTTTTGCTGATTCGCTGAAACCAGGAATACCACGCTGAGCCGGGGGCCTTGAGAAAGACACTCGCTGACCCAGGAAGAGACACTTGTTTCTCTCTGCACCGGTTCCACGTCCTGTGACGAGCGTACCGTGACGAGCGGGTGAGCAGCAAAGAAGCCACGAGAGTTCAGATGAGCTCCAGCAGGGAGTCCGACAGCAGGTGGGCCAAGGCCACCACCCACACACGCGAGGTAGTCTGGCCAGGGCTCCCAGCACATGGCAGAGGGGACAGAGGGCCCTGGGACTGACGATGGGAGCAGCCTGCAGGCGGCGGGCCTGGGAGGGTGCCGGGGTCTGGACGCAGACACACACAGGTGCCAGCTGATCTGACATGGCCGCTCTGCCAGCAGCCACCACTGGGCCTCCCAGCTCGGGTGTGTGGCTGCCAGAGCAGGCGGTTGTCCCAGCCCAGGCTCACCCCAGGCACGATTCGTCAGACTCTCTGAGGACGAGATGAGACGCTGTTCTTCTAAGAAAACCACAGTTGTGAAGGAGAAAAATAAACTTTTAAAAATGATCATAAAGAAAAATACTCTCCAACAGCTGGAGCACCAACAAAATGTGACAAGACCCGATGGACATCCACAGCTGAGCGCCAGTGAGGGACGTCTGGTGTACGTCCCCGTCACCAGCTGCACTGTGATTTTTCTGACATAGTATGACAAGATATGTCAAGGACGTCAGAGTTTCTGCATTTTCAATTATAATTTTAGAAATGCAATATCTTTTCTTCTAAATTGCTTATTGGCTATATTGTTTTACAATTTAAAAACATGCAGAATAATATACCTGCAGAATAAAAGAGCTGAAATTAAAAGATCTTTTTCAATTAAAAAAAAAGATTTCAAATGATTTTTTTTTTTTAATTGTGGAAAAAGTAATTAGTGTGATATCTTTGCCTAAAGAGCTCAAACCTACCCTACAACTACGGAATTTCGACTGTTCTGAGAAGGACCTCTGCGTGCGCTGGCCTGGAAGCCCCAGTGAGGACAGGGCCCAGCAGCCCCTGCCCACGGTCTCCCGCACGGAATATGCCAATGGAGTGCTCAGACCATAGACTCGGTCTCCACCAGCCCCTGCAGGCCCTCCTTCCGCGACAGCTTCAGGACAGTGGGCTTCTCACTGCCCCCGCGGCCTTCACCTTCCAGGGCAGGCTGGGAGGACAGAACTTTCTGCTCATCCTTGGCCTCCTCTGACACCTCAGGATAGATCACCAGGAACGTGGCCGTCAGGAAGCCCAGGAAAGAGCCCACAGAGGCCACCATTGGGATGACACGCACAGTTCCCACGGCATCAACCACACCCCCGAGGGCGGACGCCACCAGGATCTGGGAGATGTAGACCTGGCAGGAAAGGATGGCGCAGTCGATGCCAAACCCACGCTTCGAGTTCCCAGGACTGTGGTGAACGTACTAGAAGAGAAGAGAATTCAGAGTGAGGGGTTCCAGGGAAGGGAGACCTGCTGGGGTTTCAGAGGTGTGACCCTGCTGAGGGGTCTGCACACAGCTGCTCCTGCCTGGGCCTCCCGCACCCCAGCTCTGACTCCGCACCATGCAGACAGGAGACGGGGGATGTTCTTGCTCCCTGGAGGGGAGAGGTGAGGAAGCAGCTTTGTCAGCCCCATCCATCAGAATACAGGCTCCCTGGGGCCCGGCCTCTAGTCCCAAGGAAGGGCAGCAGGGCTGACTCTGCCCACCCAGGTGGTCTCCAGTGAGGGCTGGAGGACAGGGGCTCTGAGTCCATGCCAATGCTTCCCACATTCTGAATGCACTGACACTTAGATCATACTAACGGGGCATGGGGCTTCATCTGTTTCCTAAGATACAAGTGAACCCTGCTGCATAGACACTTGTGGTCACACTAAGTGACCACATCTTCTGATGGAAGGCAAAGCAACCTTGATGTGTGTGTACCATGACTACAGAGGGAGGTTCCAATGTACCTTTCACAGAGTTAGTGGACACAGGACGGAAGGGAACAGAAGAGCTCAACACACTCAGGGCACTAAGCACAGGACACACTTTCTTTCCAAGAGCATAAAGAATGTTTGTAAACATTTGTGACACACTGGGCCACGGGGGGGGGGGGGCTCAATTAATTTTAGGGGCTGAAGTCACGTAAGATTGTCTTCTGACCTTGAGGAATTACACTAGAAACTAGAAAATCCACTATGTCAGAAATTCATCAACATACTTCTAAATAATTCATGGTTCAAAACAGAAATCATCACAAAAATTAGAAAATCTTTTAAGTGATTGAAACTCAATGAATTACAACTTCCCAGAGTGTGGCTCAAGCTGTGAGTAGAGGGAAATTAGTACCCTTAAGTGCAAATACTCAGCTAAAATCAAAGAAAGAAATTAGAAGATAGCAAATTAAACATAAAAAAAATAACAGAAAGCAAAAGACCCGTAAAGAGCAGAAACAGATACAAAGTGAACGTACCACAGAGGACCGAGGGTCCGAAAAGCTCCTGGAAACAGACTCCACTGATTCCCAGACAGTATCAAAAATGATAACAGTGCTACTGCATTACATTGTAAGGAAATATTCTGAACAATTTAATGTAAATATAGTGGAAATTTCAGATGCAATGGATGAATTTCCAGAAAACCCTGACTTCTGTAGTGAGACAGACGTGAGCACTCCTGGCTAGAGTTTGAACAAGAAAACAATGACGGCACTTGCACCCAGCCTCACGTTGGAGGTACTAGTCGTGACCAGAAGGCAAGGAAAAGAAAGACAACGTACCAAGGTTAGAAAGGAAGAACTAAAACTCTCATTACACACAGCTAATGTGGTTTTGTATGCAGAAAATCATGAGAATTCATAACAGAATAATATACATTTGTGCACAGGAGGGCTTGGCTCTGCCACGTTATCAATCGTTCCCAGGTGGATGCATACGGGTAAAGGTGTACTCAAAAGCTCAGAGTGGATGAAAAACAAATGGTTAGGAGGAGCCAAGACACTTCTGAAGAGCCAGAGTCGCTTCACTCAAGCCAGCATCGCACCTGTCCCAGGAGAGGAAGATGACTGGCCAGCACCCAGCCACCTGCGGGAGGACACACGGCTGTCTCCGTCCCCCACCTCAAGCCAGCCACAGGATCAGATGGGGCATGAAAGACCGTGAAGGCATAGGGAGGGGTGCTCACTACTGCGGTATCTCAAACAGCTCCAAACCGGAAGAACCCAAGTGCCAATCAAGGGGCGTATCAGAGCCCATCAGGGCACGGGGATTAAGAGCATGCAGAGCTGCTGGCAATGCACTTGTCACAAGAAGGAGGTGAAAGAAAGAGGCCAGATGGGAGAGGACAGTGCTAGAGGTCAGGATCACGGTCACCTTCAGAGTGAGGGCAAGGAGGCCAGGGATTCTGGCTTGGATTAGATGCATCTATGCAGCTACTCAGTAAATCCACTTTGCTTGGACCACTGTCACAAGAGACTGGGAGTAAGCACAGTTGAGGCTCAGGTAGGAGAAACGAGCACCTCCTTTCCCCTCAGAGGTGTACAGTGCTGGACAGTCATGGTCACACCCATGCCCAGGTCTATGATGAACTCTGTGCTAGGGCAGTTGACATGCTTGATGGGCCTTTCGAGCAGGGCAGGCAGTGACCCTCCAGGGCGCACTTCCAGAAGCCTCTTGGCAGGACTGGCCTACAGTGCGGGGGGGATCCTGTGGCCAGAGACTGACCAGGGCAGGCAGCGGCTGAAGGCTTCTGGGAGTGGAGATGGACAGCACAGTCTGGGATGGGGATGTCCCTGGCTGGAGTGTGGCTCCCTGGGCCTCCTTTTTTGCCACCCCTACCCCAGCACCCTGGGGATGGACGTACCTCCTTGACTTCATGGTAGTGTCCCAGCAGGGCATAGGGGCAATAGGAGATGCTCATGGAGACAATGCCCATGGTGCTGATGGTGACCATGGCCACATAGACATTGGGGAACATGGCCATCACAGCTGTGCCTGCAGAGAAGCCCAGTGTCCCCAGCACGTAGATGACCTTGATGCTCAGGTCGTAGTTGTCCAGGTACTTCTGTAGCAAGGCTGCAGAGAGGGACCACAGGGACAGGGATGAGCTCATGGCTCCTGTCCTGTCTCATCCAACATGGCTTCCTCCAGCTGAAATGGGGTCTGGGGTACAGGTACTGCCTGCTCTTGAATGCATCTGCAGCCTTGGACCCGCCTGGCCCCCCGTGGCTCTGGCACCTCAGCAAGGCCAGCAGCTGGCCCTTCCTACAGCTCTGGGCCTCCCTGACCTGCCAGAACACTCTCTCGCCTGACCCAGCACTACTCTGTTCTCCTGACGTGGACAGCCCAGGTCGTCGTCTCAGGACCTTGCCTTGCACCACCCATCCTGACCTGGTGGCTTAGATGACACCTCCTCCAGGAGGTGCCTCCCAAGCTCCCGAGAATTCCTCTACCAGAGCAGTGGCAACAGCCGAGTCACAGCTGCTCCAGTGCCTGGCTGACCTCGTGGCATTTACCTTAGCCACCCAAGTCCACTCGAGGCTGGTGTAAAGCTGGCCTCCTCCCCAGGGTTTAGACAGTATGGGTAGGCAAGGGGACCCTGACCATGATCACGTCTAGTCCCAGAGGTTGAGCTGGGCATGCTGCTCCTGGGGTGGGTGCCTGTCACCCCACCCTATCCATCAGGATAAAGCTGTGCCTGTAGGTAGAGGCCTCATGCCCATGACAGCCTGGACCCTGCTCCTCCTGCTGAGCCCTGGGCAGGAACCAGCAGGACCCAGGACAGCCTAGACAGAGGTGCCGTCCATATGGACAGCATTGTGGGACAGCACAGACTGCCTCCACGGGCTCTCAGAGACACCCCTTCCTAGCACAGCCGACAGCAGCTATTCCCACAGCTTCTCACCTGCCCAGACAGAAGTCAGGGTCCCACGGACACCTGAGCCTTATGAGGTATGGGATCCCCTCATCTGACTGCTGAGAACTCTCTAGGGCTACAGCTTACCTGAGCTGGACACCTCTTACCTGAGCAAATAGCACCGGTAGCAGCGTAAATGACCAAGCCCCAGCAGCCCATCTTCACCCCAGCGTTGTAGGCGTGCCAGGCAGTTGAGTTGGAGGCGTCCTGTTCAGAAGGAGACTGGGTAAGCGGGGCATATGCTGCGTGCTCAGGACAAAGGGGTGATTCTGCATTTCAACTGTGGCTGACTGTATTTCAGGAGGTGAGAAACACTCCAGCAAGGAAGGGCCCTCCCTGGTCCACAGGAGGTAAGAAGGCTCCAAGCAAGATGGGGGCCCTCCCTGGTCCAGTCTTCACTGGGTCAGTGGTTTCGGGTCCCTCCTTGCCACATCTGACTGTGTAGCTCAGAAACCCAGGGGTGACCCTGCCCTCTTTAAGCCCCAGGTTAGACCTGAGGAGGAGTGGACATGTGGGCCTGGTGTGTGTTGACTACTGAGGCCCTCCTGACCAGGTAGCAAACACATCACAGGGTGTGCCCCGCTGGTACCACAGGGGCTGGAAGAACCGCCAGCACGGCTGGCATGAGTGACGCCAGATGGTCACCTGAACTGCCAGGTTGGGTGAGCTTGGCACAGGGCGGCAGACAGCTGAAGACAGCCTCACTTGGGCTTCTCAAAGTGCGTCTGCCTGGTGGAGTGCCAGGCGGGCATGATGGCTCCCGGGGCCCCATGGTGACCTGCTTCAGGCTTGCACAGCGCCTGGTCCATGTGGACGGGGCAGTGAGGGCAGGCTTGGCAGAGGCCCTATTTTCATTCTCAGCGTGCCACACTTCCTCCCCAGCACCCCACGCTCCCAGCCGCCTGCCCAGGTGCTCACCTTGGGGTCCCCTTTGAAGATGACCTGGCCCATGAAGTCGGTGTAGAAGACAGCTTCAGCGATGACAGAGAACCAGGTGAGCAGGTGGCAGAGGCACAGCCGCTTCAGCTCCTTGGGCATCTTGAGCATGGACAGCCATAGCAGGCGCACGGTGGTCTCGCTCTCGCCCTCCTCGCTCTCTGTGTCCCCGCTGGAGGTGGTGGCCCCGCTCTGGTTCCGGTGCCGACAGCGCTGCCGCTGCCTCTGCTGCAGGTCGTACAGGTCGCTCATGCTGCGGGAGGGCTTGATGAGCACCACGGCGTTGGCCCGCCGGTAGCGGTAGCAGTGGGACCCGACCTTGCCGTAGTAGGAGAAGGTGCTGGAGGCCTGCCTGCGGAATGCATGCCGCCGCCGCCGCATGGAGCCAGATGTGGCCGAGGGCTTCATGCCCACCCTCACGTAGCCAAGGGGGTCCCTGGGCGGAGAGCCACTTCCGTTTGGGACTTTAGCTTCATTCAAGTGATTATCAAGCAAGGTCTCGTCCTCCTTGGCCATTTCCCTGAGGAGCGTGGACAGGCGGGGCAGTGTGGCCTTCAGTAGCTCCTGGCTGGTGCTCCGGGGGGTGTTGGGGCAGGAGGTGTCATGGAAGATGGAGGGCTCGATGTCGTGCAGGAAGAGCAGCTCAGGCTCCACGTCCAGCGCAGCATCCGGCACGTGCAGCACAGAGTCACTCTTACTGCGCACCAGGTCCACGTCCAGGTAGTCCAGGGGGAGCTCGTGCTCCGACTGCACCTCGTCTGGGAACAGGGGGCTGCCATCTTGTGCAAGGCCAGGGGTGGGGGCCAGGGCGGCCTCCTCCGAGCTGCGGTCCTGCTGTGGGCAGTACTGCTCCTCCTCGATACTGAAGACATGCAGGGCCACTGACACCGTGAAGACGATGGCAGCGAAGAAGAAAAGCACCTGGTTCTGTGTCCGGAACCAGCTGCCCAGGAAGGTCTGCGTCCAGTCCAGCCCGCCCAGCACATAGCCAATGGCCCCGCCGAGGCCTGGTGGGGAGAGCAGGGGTGAGCCAGTGACCACTGCGGCCCCCATCCCCAGGCCCACCCTGAGTGAGTCAGGACACAGGGGCTGGGATGGAGCACGAGATGGCAGCGGGGACCCTGACTGTGGAACTGAGGACTAGGGTCTCCCAAATCCCTGCTTAATTAACTAAATGCAAACTACTCCCAGATCTGACATGGCCTTAGGTTCAGGGTCCTCTACTGGATGCGTGTGGAACTGCCTGGCGGAGGGCGGAGATCAGCATGGGGCCTGCCCATCTGCCCTGTGAGCACATCACCCCAGGCAGGACTGGCCTGACACTCTGTCCCCATTCCTGCCTCTTCATCCTGCTAGGGCTGCACACAGGGCAGCAGAGGCCCACCCCCTCCTGGAACCCTGGCAGATGACTGAGGGAGGCCGGTCTGCCCCAGGCAAGGCGTTACCAGCAGAGAAGGCATGGATGTTGAGGGCCATGTCCTGTTCCTCGCTGTCCACCACATCCAGCAGGTAGGCGCGGATGGGCCCTTCAGTCGCATCAGCACTGAAATCCAGGACCACCACTCCCAGCACCGTGAGAACGATGCCAATGGGCTGCCGGGTGGGGACATCACCAAGGGCCAGACCTGGACAGAGAATGGGAGGGGGTGATCAGACGGCAATACCTGCCTCGTTGGACCGGGGAGCTAGCAGTCCCCTGCAGGGAGGTGGCCGGCACAGTGCGACCTCTCCAGAGCAAGAGCCTCGTTCTTTGGCAGACCCTTGGGAAAGAAACGAGCTGCTTCTTCCCGCTGTGTGGCGTGTGGGGAGATTCTTCCAAAAGGCTCCTGGCCCTGTGCTGTGAGCAGGAAGCAGAGCAGGTTGGGCTTACTGCACCATTGCTAGGGGTGGCCTCCTTCTGGGAGTGCCAGCTAGTGCCAGCTAAGCACTGCCATTTCGCCTTCTGTGAGAAAAGCATCTCCTTGCCCTTCTCAACAAGAACTGATGCTGAAGGCCAGCCCCCAGGGCCAGCCCACGGGCTGGAAGACCTCTGACGCATGCTGAGACGGCCCCTCGGGCTTTCTGCCTCCTGCCTGTACCAGCCTGGCCCTGGAGGGTGCAGCCAAGAGGGACCCGAGTGGCCACGCACCCTGGTCCCAGTCCTATGGAGACAGCGTGAGCCTGCAGGAAGCTCCTCAGGGGTCTACCCTGACCCAGAGATCAAACTGCCCTCCTGTCCCCGATGCCTGACCAGCCAAACTGGGCCTCATGTTCCCATGAAAAAAGCACACCCTCCTGTATGAGGATCAGAGGGCATGGGGTGGGATTGAAGGCTGGGGCCCAGGAATGGCCCCACAGCACTGTTCGGCCAAATCTGGACAAATTGGTCCATAGGAGGCACAGAAAACGGGGTCTCTGCCAGGAAGCACCCCACTGGCCTCAGACTGCAGAGACAGCACCCAGGTTGAGGGCTGGAGCTTCTGGGCTGGCTGTGTTTGGCTATATGTGATGGGGCTGTACCCCAGACATGGCCCAGGAAAGCCACCTGCTATCGGAGGACCTCCCTGCTCATGGGAAAGGGGAGGCTAAGCCCAGAGCCAGCAGCAGGCATGGGAGGCAAGCAGCCCCAGGGCATCTGTACAGGGCCTGGGCTGGCTGGAGGACGCTAGGCTCAGGAGGTGGGCAGGACCAAGCCCACAGCCCCACCTGCAGCCAGGCCCATTGAGTCAGCAGCCCTCCTGCACCAAGGTTCCTGGCCCCGCACCCAACCTCAGGCGAGGCCCTCTCTCCTTGGGCGTGCACAGGCACCTCCACCTCAGGATGTGTGGGGAGCTCACTACCCCATTTGACAAATGCCCTCAAAGCAAACACACTTTCCCACACAGAGTTGCTTTGATTAAAAACAAAACCACCACCAGTAAAAACAGCACGTGAGAGCCTGAAACAAAAAAACAAGTATCAGACCAGCTCTGGACGCTTTCAACACCAACTCTGAGAAAAGGAGAACAAAAAGAGAAGAGATAATTACTGAAATAAGCTGGAAACAGGACGTGGTGTCAGATATGCATGAAAAACAAACGGTCGGTGGGCAGGAAGCCTTTCCCTGTGAGCAGGTTCCTCCAGCTTTCCCACAAGGCGGCTCCAGCAGCCGCCTGGGCCTGGCCACCGCCAGGGGGCCAGAGTGAAGTCCCCGGTTACTGCACAGGGTGCGCAGCAGCACTCACCTATGGCAGAGCCGTTGAGGAACAGCGCCACGCCCACGAGGACGCCCACGCAGAGTGCCAGGATGAAGGGCCGGCGGCGGCCCCAGCTCAGGGTGCATCGGTCACTGGCAGAGCCGATGAGCGGCGTGAAGAGCAGGCCGAGGACGGGGCTCAGGAACCAGGTGAGACTGTAGTACTGCTCCGGGAGCCCTGGGGGAACATGTGCTGTGAGGCGGGCGTGTGCCCACGTGCAAGGTTCCTAGGGCACACCTCCTCCTGAGGGAGGCCAGGCGAGCCAGGGGCCTTGGCGTGGGTGACCAGGCCTGCAGGGCCCCACCTGCTGCATACAGTACCAGGGCAGCACACACTGGGCGCAGCTGTGTGGTCCGGCTGTGCGTGCCGCAGGTGCTGGGGCAGCATGGCCTGGGCAGACGCTCCAAGCTGCTGGTGCTGCCAAGTGCCAGAGGGCTGATGAAGGCCCTCGGGGCACCAGAGGTGGCACCACAGTAGGCACAGACTCTGGCTTCTCCCTGAGAGGCACACGAGGGGGACACATGGGCTGCCACTGGCCACACCACCCCGACCACCCTTAACGATGCTCACATTAGGAATCCTCTCTCCGAAATAGCTCCTGACCAAACCTACTTAGAGTGAGGCTAAAAACTCAGAGAATGGGAAGCACGTCACCCCCACAGACTGTCACAGCTTCATGACAAGTGTCGAGTCCAGATTGTGTCCCTGTGCTCAGTACCTCCCTGCTTCTCCCCCAAAGAGCTGGGGTACCCTCTAGCACCCCATTGGCTCTCACGTTCATGCCAAAAAGAGGCACTCACCTGTCACTGTTCAAACTCCTGGTGGGGGGGGGGGGACACCTGTTCAGGAGGCCCCACACCCACTTCCTGCCCTGCCTGCAGCATCACCCACCCTGAGCACAGGGTACACTTTGGAACCCCTGAGACACCATATGCACTGCCGACAGGCTGTGGCTCCCTGGAGATCCGTGACAGCTCACCTACAGCCCCCTCCCCTCCCAGCCTGGAGCCAAATGACACCCACAGAGAAAAAGGCTTGCTGACCCAAACCATACAGAGATGCTGGCCAGGGAGCGTCAGTCTGCCCTGTGCAGAAGTCACCTCTCTGCTCAGCCTCCAATAGCCTCAATTCCTTTTCTAAGACTCCTACTCTGTCCCTGCCATGCTGCTCAGGGACCCGTTAACCAAACTCTGGTCCTGTCTTGGGCTGTGGCTGGCCAAGCCCTTAGTGCAAATCCTTGGGTGCCCTCCACTGCGAGGCCTTGCAGTGTGGTCTGTTACCAAGTCCCTTCTGAGACCAGGTTTTCCACAAATCAGACCTTTCCCAGTGAGACCGAAGTGCCACATAAGGGACCCTGTGGCTCCATCAACCTGGACACACACACACCTGGCACATCAGTGTGCAAGTTACAGCAGATGCATTTGTTTGATGCTGGTCCAGCTGCAGGAGATGAGCAGACATGAGGGGGACCTGCTGCATGTCCCCCTGGGTAACAGCAGCAGGCCTGGTGCTGGGCCTGGCCTGGGCAGCCTCCAGCCCCCAGGCCACCACATGGGCTGAGAAGCCGGCCGTGGAGAGATGTCATATGACTGTGCTGCTCAGGGTGGCTGACAGGGTTGGGAGGCCACACCATTCAGCCAAGGGAAGAGGAGTTGTCAGGGGAACTGGGCTGTGGACGAGGCAGGAGTGGGTACCTGAGCCCATGGAGGGTGGGGCTGTGGGGTCGCAGTCTTCAGAGGGGGACACAGGCAGTCCGGCAGGTGCTCTCTCCCAGCAGGTTGACAGAGCAGGCTTTTAAGGAACAGTCCTGCCGAGCCTGTGTGCCCCACACGCTTGCCCCCATATCAGGGACAGCTTGCTCAAGTCAGGGCTGTGCCTGGGCCCGAGGAACACACTGCTCCTCCCCACACTTCTAGGTGTGTGTGGCTGGTAGGAGGCTGCCCAGGGGCAGGGGCAGGGGCAGGGCTCCAGTGTGGGCTCTTCAGGGCCCAGCTGTCTGTCATCACTTGTGCTATTTGGAGGAGCTCACAGGTGCACCCCAGTCTCAGCTCCTTCTCGAGAGCTATGTCTAGCACAGGGACTGGCAAATTCTGCCATCTATTTTTGTGTGGCCTTCCAGTTAAGAATGGATGTTACATTTTACCAAGTTGAAAAGATCAAAGTAAAACTATTTCCTGACACAAAAAGCTATGAGATTAAAAATCTGGAGTCCCCAGGTTAGACGCCGCAGTTTGCCGCCAGCCCATCGGCTCCCCAGCTGCACTCTGTCTGGAGGCCCTTCACCTGAAGGTGACAGCCACCCCGCCAAGGCACCCCTCTGCCAGCTGGGTCTTCACCAGTCCCCCTCTCAAGGAACTTTTTAAATACATGGTATATAAATGGCTCTTATTTTTCTATGCATCTTTGTTGGCATATTCAGTTTACTTACACTTAATGTAATTGTGATTAGGTTGGAGTTAGGTCTACCATTTGCTATTTGCTTTCTGTCTGACCCCCCTTGTTTCTTTGCTTCTCTGTTCCTATTTTCTTTTGATTAACTGAATATCTAGGCAAATTCCAATATACTATAGCCTTCAGTGGTAGGTACTTTTAGTGATCACTACAGATATTACCTATCAAACACTTACAGTCCACTTAGTGAATATGATAACACATAACACAAACCCCACCATATGCTTTTGCTTTTACTAGTTGTATCTATTCTAAAGGAATCCAGAAGAAACAATCGTATATACCTACACATTTCACCATTTGCAGGACAACTCCTTCCTTCTTGAAAGATCTGTTTCTTTGTACCTGAAGACGCTTCTTCAGTTTATTTGGCATTCCTTAAAAAGCATCTGCTGATGCTTTTTTTCAGATTTGGACTCTGAAATCTCCTATTGCATTTTTATTCTTGAATATTTCTGCTGGATACAGAGTCGGGGCTCCAACCCTCTTCACGGAGAACCCTGAGGAGGGTTCCCAGTGGTCCAGCTCCACTGTGTCATTCAAGGAGGTTGTGGCGGTCCTCGGGACTGTCCCCCGCTCATCATGCGCCGGGCGCTCTCCAGAGCCTCCTGCCGTTGCTGCTTCTCAGCAGTGTGGCTCTGATGAGTAGGGAAGAGGTGCTTGACACGTTCCATGCTCGGGCTCGCTGGACTTCACGAATCTGTAGATTTACAACTCTTACAATGTTGTGATGATCTGTTCTCTATTTCTTCTATTCTACGACTCCAATTATAGACGTATCGTACGTGGTTATATACATACATCACACAGACTGACTCTTTGATACTGTCCCCGTTTCCTCAGGCTCTCTTCATCTCTCTTTATGATCTTTATTCTCTGTCCTTTGCTGTGGATGATCTCTACTGAGGAATCTTTAGGTCTCCTGTCTCCTCTGCCATCTCCAATCTGCTCTTAATCCTACCGGTTAACTTTCAATTCGGATGTTGTATTTTTTGGTTCTCGAGTTTGTCAGTTTCCCCTCTCTTACACTTGTTTCTGTGCTAGAACTCTACTCTACATCATGAGCGTGTTTCCCTTCATGTAACAACCAGTCACGCGGGCTTCCTGACAATCCCAATCTGAGTCCTCCCCCTGGGGTCAGTTTCCCCAGCTGCCTTTTCTCTAGAGTAAAGGGACATTTCTTTTTTATTTTTTCAGTCCTTTTTCTTTGTGTCTAGAAATACTGTGGGGCTGGGGACATGGCTCAGTTGGTAGAGTGCTTGCCTTTCATGTACAAGGCCCTGGGTTCAATCTCCAACACACACACACAAAAAAAAAAAAAAAAAGGAAAAAGAAATGCTGAATTATGCCCTAGACATTGCGAACAGTGCGTCACAAAGACTTCATACTCTTGTTATGTTCCTTCCAGGACTATCGATATTTCTGCTGTACACACAATTAACCGAGCTGGACTCTCAGAGCTCTGTTCTCCCCACAGAGTGAGACGGCAGAACTTCGTGCAGTTCTACCAGCTGCAGCTACGCAGCCTGAGATCTGGCTATGAATGTGCAAAGGCCATTCAGGAAGCAAACAGAGCCACGAGCAGTGTACACGCGAGGCTTGGGTCCCTCCCTGCGTCTTTGGTTCTGTGAGACAGGAAGAGGGCTGGCAGCTGCCATGTCTTCGCCACCCTGTGGCACGACTAAGGAATTTTCAGTTCAAGTTGGAGAGAGACACAGAGACAGACAGACACACCGGTCAGCCCATGCCATTCCCTTCTTCCAACTGCCCCTCCTCTTCCAGGTTCTGGCCCTCTGTTACTCTACTGCCTTTGGGGAGTCGTTCTTTACATCCTGTCCACAATCTGCGCCCGTTACCTGTGGGAGGGCTTCTGCAGGTGCTTCTCTGTGACCTCTGGCTGCCTGACCCTTGGCAGCCATTATTGGCCTCATGGACCCTGTGCTGTGACCATCTGCCTTCTGCCCTGCTTTGTCACACTGCAAGCTGCAGAGAGAGGCAACCAACATGTCCTGTTCCCTCAAACCAAACTGTGTCATGCAGCAACTGCCAGCTCTCTCTGCATGCCACGTTGCCCTGACCTTCCGACTCAGGGTAACTGGTAAGTGGCCAGCAGGTAGGGTGAACTGCAGTCACTGACACAGGTCAGAAGGGAGACTGGTGGCAGGGACAGCTCTCCATGACCTACTGATGGTGATGATCTTGTGACAGGATTTACAGAGCCTGGTCACATGTCACTGTGTTCTCACAGTCACCACTGAGGCTCATATTATGGTTCCTGCTTTCTGGTGAGGAGAGGAAGGCTCAGAGAGGTGACCTGCTGACATGGTGACAGTCCAGTGAATGGCCTGACAAAGACAATCCGCCAGCACCCACGATCCCAACACCCCTTGTCAGCTCTGCGTGGGTGCAGCCACCCGAGGGCCAGCAGCAGCACCAGGCCTGTTTCGAATCTCGAGCTGGGGTCTGAAGACAGGTCTGTTACCTCCTCTGTTACACCTGGGCCAACTGGCCAACCTGGCACCTGCTACCAGCTTTGCTACCAGCGGGTCTCAGGGCTGGAAGCCTAGGCTCAGGAAGTGGCTGGGAAGGTAGGTGTTAAGGCAGAAGGAGGGCAAGCTGGCACCAGGAGGATGGGCGTAGACACATGCCACTCATCCCCTTCCCACTGAACACTCTCCATGTAAGAATAGAGATGCACCAGGCTCCCTGGCAGAAGCTCCAGCCAA